AATAAAATTTATCTGTATTACAAGGATTTTCTCAAAATAGCAAGAATTGTAAGAAAACAAGAATCTTGCCAAAATGGCAAGAAACAAGAATCATGCCAGAAAAGCAAGAAACAAGAATCATGTAAGAATTGCAAGAACACAAGAATCAGGCAAGAATACAAGAACACAAGAATCTTGCCTGGCGGGACATTTCTTGCCTCGCCAGCCAAGATTGTGTCTACACGAATCTTGCCAGAAAGTCAAGATCTGTTTTTTCAGACAAGAATCTTGTACAGAAGGAATGGCAAAAGAATCTTGTCTGATATTCAAGAAAAACAAGAACCTGGACAGATCGAAGTCAAGATCGTCGACTAGTGTATACAATTCTGTAGTTATATGAAAATATTTTCTTAAGATTTTGGATGACGTAGCGCATGATACATTTCAAACGAGGCAAAAAGCGTTCTGCTCTCACGTCGCAAAAAAAAATATATTACTTGTTGGTATGAGTGAATTGCGCAATACTTGTGTAAGTAAGCATTCGTCTATATTGTTCTTCTTTTTCTGTTTTTTTCCTATGACTTTGCCAGCACGGTTTATTTCTAACGATGCAACGAGCTTGAAATCAATGATGCAACATCACCTTGCATCAGCTAACAACCCAGCTGCTATATTAAGCTGTGTTGCTTTATTAAAAGATCAATTATTTGTAAATTACTACTGCGAATAAGATTCTATTCCATGCCAGATACCATTTCTCTCGATTCATTCGATACAAAAGATAGAGTTCTCGATGAACTCTACACTCTTGTTCGCGATGGTTTAACAGATCAACTTCTTAGTCAACTGACCAACTTATCAAATCGAACAGAATATTTGACCTCAGTGAATTGGAATGGCCAAGAACAACTAAGTTTACTGATGGTAGCTGCTCTGCATGGACACGAAGATATAGTTCGTATTCTATTTGAACACTGCGAACCCGAATATCAAGTAGAATTCGAAGGAACAATCATCCTTGATAATCAGACAATTCTCGAAGGTGTTACTGCTCTCTATTGCGCATGTTATCGAGCGAAATTTGCCGTTGCTCGATTATTGATCGAAACCGGCCGAGCAAATACTAATCATAGTACTTTGGATGAACCTTACCATCCTCTATTGATTCACGCTACGCGAATGAATCGTCTTGACATCGTACAATTTCTTATCGAAAACAATTACGCTGATGTCAATAAAATAAAATCCACTACTCGTGCTTTTAATTGAAAAAGGGTGCTCATGTTGATTATTATTGTAAGAAAAACTATAAAAGTAAATTTTCTACACCATTAACATTAGCTGTTCATGATGGAAATTTGGAACTAGTTCAAATATTGTTCAATGCTGGTGCAGATACGAACGTTAAGAGTAAATCTGATGATACTCTACTTGCTGTTGCTGTTAAATTGGAACACTGGCCAATAATTCAATTTCTATTGGAACAATCTGTAACTAACATAGATGAAGTTGAACGGGCTGTTTTATTTCTTATCGAACGTCGACCTCTTCCTATCGATATGAATAAATTGTACAAGTATTTATATTTCATTCTTCAGCAACAAGTCGTTCTTCAAAAATCGAAAGTTTGCCGACAACCATTGGCTATCTATGACTATCATCAAGAATGCCAAACATTAGAAGAACTAGAATCGATTAAAAACGATTCAAATCGAATTTGGATCGAAGTATTACTAGTTTTAGAACGTATACTTTTACCTCGAAAAGATCCAATATTAACAAAGGCATTGAATGGCTATAGTCATTATCTTTTAGTCCAAAATGATTTTGATAAATGTCTCGCCCTGTGGATTCATAGCTTCTATATTAGCAAACAAATGCAACGCACAATGACTCTCTATCCATTTGTTCGACTCTTTTGCAAAATGATCACTGCAGAGGCAATGATTCCAATCGATCGATTTATCGAAGTTTGCCATTTTACTTTTGATTCAACACGAACCACTCGTGATCAAAACACTTACAATCAATTATGTTTCGTTGTGATTACAGCAAAGGTACGTTGTTGTGATATTATCGATTTTTCTCTTATTATTCAACTAATAATATTATACTTCAGATCTTCGAACATCAACAAATAACTTGTGCAGAAAAAATAGCTCTATGCAAATGGATTAGTCAACTGTGTCGACAATGGCAAATGCCTTCCGGTCGACAAACTATTGTTCATCTATGTGTCAGTGGCAGCAACTATGGATGCTCTTATAGAAATTCTTCAGATACAGAACCATATCTCAGGTATGTAGATTTAACATACTATAATGATTAAATCGCTCTTGAATGCTGGTGCTCATATCGTTTGTGTGAATCGATACGGGTTCACACCATTGATGTATGCAACTGGCCAGGAAACCAAAGCTTTTCTCAAATCCAGAGCAAGTCCAACATGTCTTAAATGTTTATGTGCTCGTATGATAGCCAATCAACGGCTGAATACCAGTACTGTTGGATCAGCAACATCAAAATTGAACAAGTTCATTTATCGGCACGGATCTTCAGTGATTGAATCTGAAAATAAATGAAAAAAAAAATATATATATATATATGTATATTAAAAAGCATATCTTTTTATCTATTAGCGTATTGATATAATTTAAAATAAAATATAAAGTAAGTTACACATTTATAGCATTGGTCGAATTGAGAAAATTAGGTTTGAATAGAAATCATGCCAAGAATAATCTGGTTTACCGCAAAATATAAAAAATGTGGATGTAGATAATAGGAAAATGGATATCTAGAGACAAGTGTTGTATCTATGACGATAATACATCGACTGTTGTGTGATGCAGTTGGATGGTTTCGAATTAAAAGTCAATGGAAATATAATGGTGTTGCTGTTCTCCCAAGGTAAGTATAGTGAAAGAGAGTTGTATAGTAGAAGAATTCTTATTCTCTAGTATTCGTTGACATCAAACTGGAGTGATGTAAAAACTTATGTATAGGTTCATGTCATCATCAAGTTTTTGTTTGAATGCTTCTTGGTCTATTTCAATTTCGAATACGATTGCTTATGAAGAAAAGATCTTGAGTTATCACTCACGAAAATAAAAGGCCTTGTAGAGGCACTTGAAAACTATGTCATTCTTTCTTAAGAATTTTGATAATCTAAACGGAATCAACACGTCGTTTGAATTTATTTTGAATGCTGAAATTATCAATTAAATATAGGATCCTGCGGGAATCGAGAATGGGGATTATATAAGCAATTATATAAATTAATTTGTTATTCACTACATCATTCATCATTACATCCATACGTTTGGTGTGGTGTGCGATGTGTTATATGTGAAACGCGAGACCTCGCGATGAGCTGCTATCAGTCTAGGGGTGTCAAATTCAAATTTAAAAAAATGATTAAATCGACAAAAACGTTTCAAAAATTAAATTAAAATTAAATAAACTATAAATTGACACCCCTATATCAGCCAATAGAAAATAAAAACGTGAGAAATGAAATAATAATAGAAACTATGAAAAACTTACGGGAACGGAAAACGGGCACTGGAATTCTGGAATTTTTTCAGGGACGAGAACACATTTTTTTCCTGGGAAGTGGAAACGGGGATCAAAAAAGTCGTTCCCGCAGCACCCTAGTTAAATATGTATAGGATCAACAGCATCAACTACAATTACTGATATTGTATGCTACAATAGATCTGAATGAATGTATAAAAAAAATAGAATAGGGATTAAAGAATAGATTATGAGAGAAGACGTTTTTAAAAGGAAATCTTAGTTTCTATTGTATTATTTCTTCGCAATTGCTAAAGAAAATAAACTCAATGAATATGTAAGGTATTTTTCTAACGAAACGCTGTTACTGCCAAACCACCATCGGCAATGTGCATAATTGACTGATAAGAAGTATAAATTCGCATTATGATGCTTTTTAAAGCCATATAAGAATCAGAGGAGTAGAAAAAGAAAAATCAGGATGGTAACGTAGTAAAAAAATTCACAACACATCTTTAAAGAATAATAAACACCAACTGATGCAGCGTAGCGATAGTGACGAGAAGAAGGAAAAAAATTTGCTATTATTTTCACTTGAAAAAAATCTACTTTAGCAGTGTCGTAACAATTTAATTTTAAACAGTCCCTGGTCTCTACTGAAAAATTAATTCTCATGGCAACTGCAGACGATGGTCGCAACAGTCCTCGCGAAATTCAGCATAAAAATGATCTTCCACCATTACACTCGAGACCGACATCTTCTCAAATAGGCAATAATAGTCTCAAAGCAAAACAAACGTTTTTAGAATATAAAAGTGAGAATAAGAAAATTGAAGATCAGTCCCAACTCAAAACTATGCCGACTACCAATCGTGATGAACGTCGCAAATCAAAAATGAACTTTGACTACTTAGCTAGAAAAGGTGATGATCCTACAGAGATGCCAGCTCAAACAAACGAAAACTACGATATGGAACATCAAGACAATTCACTTCCGCTAAAAATTTTCGACGGCACAAAAAAAGCAATAAGTGATGTTAGTGAACAGTCAAGGTCGTACTTTTGGATGCGACGTATCAAAGAAATTTTTTTGCAAATGGGAACAACTAATGAGCCATTTGTTGACTTTGACATGTCAATAGCAAGATCTGATATGCTTACGACTTGTGATGTCTATATACGAAACGATTTTAGCAAACTCAAGAAAAAGGTATGAAGTGCATTATTACGTTAGAACCAGGCAGCATGATTTATTGTCACACGAACAACTCTTTTATCATTTTTAGTACTTCGATTTTAAACATAGTATAAAAATTATGCAAAACCTTATCTGTATGATAGACTGAAAATTGTTTTTGTTGGGCTACTGGTCAAGTCTTTTCGTAAAAGGATTTGTTTCTAATTGAATAGCCATTAGAGATGCTCTATGGAGATTCAACCTAATATTTTGAAATATATTCGATAACATTCCGCAATTGTATGCTATTACATATCAACATAATCCTGTAGTTATTTATTGAAATAGTAAAGTCTTTAATTATCCTGGAAATTGAAATGAGGATTGTAAAAATTGAACAAATTTCAATAGAGTTATCTCGATCTACAATATAACCTAGATATGTAAAGTTTTATGTTTCGCCTATATACTTTTCACAGCTCACATATGAACACTTGATTAAGAAAACTATCTATTTTATTTTCGTATTCTATAAAGATTTGATATACGTAAGAATCAACACAGTTCTGCGAAAATGATGCTTGTATCTTTAATTGATTGCTCTGTAAAAAGTTTCATCGAAATGAGCTGTCCTTTTCATCAATAACTATGTGATTGAATTTGAATTCCGGTTAGATTCAGAAAATTCTAGTAACATTTCACTACTATTCATAAAATCTTCGCACAATTCTTGGTGATCAACGGTATGCTTGTGAAAGGCTTTACAGATGGTAAAAATAGACGAAACTATCTTTCTTAGCTGATTCTTTATCCTTCCTATAGATATCTAGAGATTACTAATTATTGAAAATTCGGTGGTTACAGCATTTTTTTTCTCAGTAAAATCTCGCATGAGTATGAACAAAATTGCCACAGTTACCTAAACGAATTTGAAACATCTGATCTAGCCATAAGCCAATGCATGTTTCAGGGCAATTCTAGCTCAGAAGATCTAGATGAACGTGGTCTGATTCAGAAAATCGAAGATTCTTTAAAGCAACTGCGCAACACAGAAGTACTTCTGGCGGATAAAAATTCGAAAGATGGAGTTGTCGCAAATCTTCGAGCATCCACAGCACAATTAATGTCGAATATCCGATTGCTCGAACATAGCGTCAGTGATGTTGAAGGTCATTTAAAAAAGTCAATTCAATCCAAAGACACAATTGATGGTATTCGGAAAGCACTGCGCGCACTTCCCAAGGAATCAAAGAGTCAACTCAAAATACGACAAGAGTGGGATATGAAGAAACTTTATTCAGAAGTTTTCAAGACCTCGTATACACGAAATGACCTTCGCACATCAGCTCAGAAAGTGAGTGAGACGCATATGTATGCACTATATTCGTTACTAATACTCTAGGCTGAACTCAAACCGGTAAAGAAAGGCAATGACGAACCAAATTTCCGAAATGCAATATGGTGGTATTCCTGCAATGAAGCGTCGATTTATTATCAAATCAATAGTATTTTAAAACTTGAAAATTTTGAACTACTCATGGCGTACCGTTATTACATTAGTGATCTCTGCAAAATGATTGAATATATATACAATAATGAGCAATCACAAAGTAGTAGAGTGAATACATATTATCGTGCCGCGTCAATCTCTCTTGAACGACTGGAGCAAATGAAAAAGTCACTTGAAGAAAAAAAGAAAGGACAAGTAATTTCTATGGGTGGTTTCACATCCACTACAACCAATTTGGACATTGCTAAACGATATGCTCGAACCCAATCATTATCTTCTGGAAACGTCCGGGTTCTGTTTCAAATTAAAGTCGAACCTAATAAACCGTGTGCAGCTCACGCCTACATTGAACAAATATCATTTCATCCTGAAGAGGAAGAGATGTTGTTCAGTATGGGCTCAACTTTCTCAGTAGATAAAATCGAAGATCCAGGTTTTCCCGATACAGAGCATCAGGTAAGTTGGGCTGTAACACATTTCACTGTTTTATTTCATACAAGTTATTCTTGCAGAAAGATAAAGTCAAAAGTGCCAATCCTGGAAAAGAAGAGGTAAACTACTATACTATACATACAACTGCATGCGATGTTGATAAAGCCTTGGTAGATGATATCCGTGCTAAAGTACAAGAATGTTCCGCTTCTCAATTATCTGTTTTACTTGCGCGTTACATGCTCGAATTAGGAGAATATCGCGCAGCACGAAAGTATCTCACAGAACTGTGCAACGAAAGTACTGGCATACTTAAAGATGATTTTGCATTGCCCAGTATTTATAATTGTTTGGGTATGACATTTTTTCGTCAAAATCTTCATGCTGATGCTATCGAATATTACGAAAAAGCATTGGATTGCCAAGCTCGCATAGGATACTCCAATAATAATGCTCTTGCAGAAATTCATAATAATATTGGTCTATCATATATTGGACTTAAACTTATGGATGAGGCACAGGCGATGTTTGAAGAAGCCGAACGTATTCAATTACGTGCACCAATTACTACGCGTGCTCATCTCGCATCGATCTATGCTAATATAGCTTATGTTCATTATGCTAAAACAGGTGCGGAAAGGAATCTTGAAGAGTCGAGAAATTATTTTGAAAAAGCACTTCGAATATACCAAAAAACGACAAGTAAGATTACACATGATGCTATCGAGCGAGCATTACTCAAAGCGGAGTGCTATTCGAACTACGGCCATTTACTCAGTGTCCTGAAACCTGATAATGCTCAGGAACGTTACAATGAAGCTCTCAAAATATACAAGAGTATTTTACCAGAAGAAGATCCAAAGTTGATGCGTGCATACATGAATATCATGATGGAACATGCTCATCATCAGAGTTATGAAAAAGTAATCGAATTATACGAGGATACACTGGTGAATGCACTCATAAACAAACAAGCCGGAAACGTATTCGCATTGGACAAAGTGGTAACCTTAGACGATCTTATTGTTCTCATTCAAATTGTCGGCGCTTGTTATATTCAACATGAACAACAATTTTTCAAAGCAATGTGCACCTGGACTCGAGCATATGAACTCGAACGAAAGGCAAAATTGGTTCAATTACTTTTTCCTTTTGAAGTTTCAATGTCGCAATGGTCTAGAAAACTGATTGATACCGCTTACAACAAGGCCTATGCATTTTTCATGTCTGATCAAGTACAGATGCCTAAAAATGATGAAGAGCTTCGGGAACCCGCACGGGCAGTATCGGGAAGAGCTAAAAGGTTAGTGTACAAAACATTCAATTATTGAGAAATATGCATTTGAAGTAATTCTATTTTCAATATAAGTTTCTTGGCGAGCTATACAAATAATTTAGAAGCCTTATTAAGTGTCCGATAACCGTGAGAAATGAGACGACTTCATTGCTTTAGATTCAAAAATAAGATTTTTTTGTTTGCTTTATTTCTTAAACTAACTTCAGTGAACAGTAGCACAGCCGACATAGACATTGTATTCGTGTTCAATTTCTCACCAGTGACCTTAAAACATAGAATGATTGATCTTCCTTTATGAATAGTGCGAAAAAGACTGAGCAGAAATGGCCAACTATCCAATTTTCACGTGGTTTTATGTGTTACAAAAGGTATCTATGTAAGGATGCTATCAAATACTTGAAGGAAACCATGAAAGAAAATGACAATTTTCATGCAAATCTTCTACTGGCAGAAATGTTTCAAGCAACGCATGATTTCAAACAAGCCGAAGAAACGTACACGAACAGCTTAAAGAAGATCCAAGCGATGAAGGATCAGGCGTTATTCATAGAGGTATCAATCGCAAAAATTCATTGCTTTGAAGATGATACAAAAGCGATAGAAGACTTAAAACAACTTGAAACAATACTTAATGTCAATGATAATGATACAACACGCATTAGTTTGAAGGCAATTGTTTATGACATGATAACTGATTACTACTTAAAACAGAGTAAATATATTGCTGTTATTACTTATGCCAACAAAAATTCAATTCCACTTAAAATGCGTTCACTTTCACAATATCATCCAAGTCTCGCAAAGAACCATGTGTTAGTAGCTCAAGCTTATATCGGCCGTGAGCTTTATTCAGATGCCATCAAATATTTTGAAAATACCGTCGAAATTCAGCGTCTTAATTTGGCAAGTGATCATCTAGAAATAAAGCTAGTTTATTATCAGATGGGGGATGTACATTGCATGATGAATCAACTCGATCAAGCACACGAAAAATACGAATTTGCAGAGAATGATATTAGTGACGATAACGATGAGGATGACACGGATACAGACACTGGATACGATCAACGAAGATTATTAGCCCGCGTTAGTATGAATCAGCATTTGGCTACAGTCTATGCACGACGATCAGGTTTAGAAACTGCCGAAGCTGATGCACGTCTAGCAGACATGACTGCTGCTATAGAAAAATATTCAGAATCTATTGATATTCTCAAAGATCTGTACCCGTTCGATACATCAATGCAGCCATTAGATATATTGACGCTTGTGAAACGTCTTAAGCAGCTTGCATTTTGTCATGAACATCTCGCAGATGCAATGGCATTAGATGGATCCGATGAGACCGAAAGTACATACAATGAAGCATTAGCGATTCAAGCTAAACTATTCCAATATGCAGATACTAATCGAGGAGAGATCCTTCGCAAGATTGGTCGCTACTACGAACAAAATCAAAGCGATCAAGAAACTGCAATATCCTATTATCAAGACGCAGTAAATGAATCGTTAGAATCAGCAGCTGCTATCACTACTTACTATACATTGGGACGATTGACAGTAGAATGGAAAGAGGATAGTGAGGCAGCTTCGACATACTATAATGAAGCATACAAATTAATTGATGAAGATAATACTATTCTGAAGGCTATTATGCATCAAAAATGTCCTACAATTCAAGATTCAAGTCATGCTGAAGGTGATGATAAGGTGGCGCAAGAATCTAGCGAAAACAAAGATGGAGAAGATACAACTGAGAATGCTGAAAATACTTTGGAATCGTCTGAACGACTCAACGGTAGGCAAATCATGAACGGTTCGATTCTTTCTTCATACACAGTTAAATTTTTTTAGACGATACCGTTTACAAGAATGCTGAGGCTTATCAACGACTCGATGACTCGCAGAGTCTAATTGCATACTGTCAAAGTTTTATCGTAGAAAATTCAGAATCGGATACGACGTTCGATTTTGAAATGCCAGACTATGACGAAATCGAATCCGATCAGCCCATTTTTATTAAAATCTTGGCTGAAATTCTTTTTGCATGTGTCGAACAGTTACGTCCTTATGAAATCATTGACCATGAAAAAGTCATCCCACGTAAATTAGCTGATGCTTATCTACATTGGGCACAAGCTCTAAAAACAAGTGGCGAATATAAAGAAGCTGTAGAAAGATATTTCAAATCGTTCATGTTGTATCAGAAATGTGTTGAGGCTACTCCAACGAACAGTAAATTGATCGAATTTGTAGAAAAACTCGTGAAAAACGAGTTTTTAGACCCAATGACACTCGTATCGGAATATGTGCTGATTTCACCACTCGAGGGAACACGTTTATGGTTGCAAGTGGCGGCAGCTTATCGCCACGAAGAGTATAACGGGGAAGATTCATCTAGTCCAGTCGACAATGCGATTGAAGCATGTTCAAAAGCGTTAGAAAATGCTTCGAAGCTTACACCGACACTTAAATCAGCATGTCATTACGCAATGTTGCGAATCTATAGAGATTTGAGATATGCCGACAACGACGGTAAAGCTTTTATTGAAAAAATAGCTAAAGATGGCGATTATAAAACGCGTCAAAATCATATTACTGTGTTCGATCAACGACTCTTGAGTCAGTGGGTACGCGATTTCATCGACGAATACAATGAACGATGTGAAGACGGTGAGATTCCCAGTAAGTTGGCTGACAAGTTCTTCTTGCCTTCACTTGAAGATGCTATGAATGAAAAGCAGAGCTCACTGCAATATCTTGGTGATACATTAACAGTTATGAATGACTATCAGGGTGCAGTAGCCTACTGGAAATGGATGATTAGTGAATGCGAAAGTTTCTATTCAAAAACAATAAAATTTATCATTTACGACGAAGAAAAAACAATTGGCCAAGTCTTCAATGAAATACAAAAATTAGAAGGACATGCTCATGAATATATGCAACGTCTAGTGACGAGCCATGTGCAACTTGCTCGCTACTATATTGAAGCAGGTGAACGACTGAATGTGCCAACAACGGACACTGTAGATTATTTTGAAAACGCAACTTCGCAATGTCAAATGGCAATAAAGTTACGCCCGCAAATCAGTCGTGATTGGAAGCCAGAAAATGTCGAATTGCAACGATTGCTTAAAGAAACCGAAAAAAAATTGACTGAAGCTAAAACCAAAGCTGAAGAAGAAGAAGAAAACGAGGATGATGAAGACGACGGTGGCGATGACGGTGATGATGATGAAGATGAAGATAATGATAACAATGAAGACTAAGAAAAAAATTGATAGATTGCCAATTAAATAAAAAAAAATTTCTTTTTTTGATTCAAATATCATTCATATATGAGCAATATATCTTAGTACGAGGGTACGATGCCTTTGCAAAACAACACGAAGATCCTTGGCATAATTACAAGCAGATATTTATCCACAGCAGAGTTTACTTTGCTTTAGAAATATTATTCAAAACTCACGTCAGAAATGATCTTTTTTGATAGTGTGTACAGTGTTCACTTTTACATATAAAAGGCCATCTTTTTAAGGTCTTACCTGAGTGAGCAGAGACTGTATTTTTCTAAGTGTTGACTAACGTCAACCTTGAAGCATATAATTTAGTAAAACATAAACAAATATTGAAAAAATATCGCTCTCATTCGCGGACACTAATAAGCGATGCGTACCGTATCTATTATTGAAAATATTGTTCGTATAAAATCATAGTTTCAACCTGATCGTCATTCACAAAAATCAAGTAAAGTATTGTACTTGTGAATTTTCATCTGTGTATTCTGACAATGCTATAACTAACGAATGTTGTTATCTAGAATGAATAGTAATATCTTGAATTTACCAATCAACCAAAAAAGGTATCAGTGAAGTATGTATCAATGTGTAAAATAAGAACAGACTAAAACATAGTCAAAATCGTAGTGTTTCCAACTGTAAATATTTCAAGATTTCAATGGCAATAGCATGGAATTCGTCGCCTATAGACAAGTTTATAAGTTTAATTTCATAGCGTTTCTTGATTTTTCGTTAAAACTGTGTGCATAACTAAAAAGATGAAAGCTTCTTTATTTTCAAGATCATAAATGTTGCATTTTATTGGATCACAAAAAAAAATCACTTAATAGGAAACTTTTTCCTTATAAATATCTTATCAAAAATTTCAATAAACCTGTTGGATCTTAATAAACCGTTGTAATTTTTTCAAGAACGTAAAAAATTTCTTATAAAACATGCTCGACACTGTCACCCTCTTTTTCTTTCGCGAGTATTAACGACGTAGCTTTTTCTCCTTCTCATTTTTTTTCTTTCTCGTTAACATATTTTACTCTGAAAAAAACCTTCTTTCTCTTCCTTTACTCATTTATGTTTGCATCCCAAAAGTAATGATGAAATAGCCTCACTTATAATACGCCTCGCAAAATAAATAGTCACCGTATCATGGAAGAACAATTCTTGTAGATACTACTGATACAACTAATAATCCCTTCCGTTTGCAACCTTTTCTCTTGAAGAGACATAGTTTGGCAAAACGACGTCAAAAATTCGAATCGTTAACAAGAGTGACCTGTCAGAATGCATACTGAATAAAAATACCTAATAAATTGCATCTACCTCTTTGAAACATCTGAAAACAAGACTTACAAACCACATGCACACACTCGAAACGAAACTTAGACGAGCATCAGTTTGCTCCTGACGGCATACGTCTGAGTAATAAATAAGATATTCAAATTGGTAGGTTCGCCCAGTTGATTTCAACTAAGAAAAAGTATTGACGAAAGTTTTCATTTAATTAGATGTTGTTTTACGATTTGAAGTCGAAGTCGACGAGATACGACTGAGTAGTACAGATGAAACTTTATACGAGCAGGGAACGTTTCCAGTAGCACCTTCTAGTCTCAACAATTTTGTTATATAAACAGTTTTCTTGGATTTCAATTATTCGAAGCATCATTTGGACGCTTTTGTAAATAGTGTATTCATAATCGCAGCTAGAGCTGTGATTTTCATAATCCTTTCTTGAGTGATGTGACTATGAGCGCAATACTTTTAGCTAATTGTTTACGAAATAAAACCCGAAAAGAATACTTTTTTCTTTATCAAGAATTAACAATATGACTGAAATTAGAACAAAATTCGGTTTATCTTGTTTTTAACTGAATTTTATTTCAATAAAATTTTCTTTAGATAAATTTTTGAAGAGGCATGGGATCAGGCCATAGTGCTCATATTAGCATTAATCTTGATCGAGCCGTTCCACTCTTTTATAGTGGTGAATCGGTGTCTGGAAGTGTTAATGTAAATATCACAGAAGGACACATTAAAGTCGATGAAGTATTTATTGTGTTGAATGGTGAAGCTGGCTATACGACAACTCGTACTGTTCAGAATACAAATGGTTCAACGCATACGCAGACTGATTATCATACAAGATGCTTTTTCTCCGAAAAGAAAGTCCTCGATAGTCCAGGACTGGACAAAAAAGAATTAGAATATCATTCTGGGCAGTATTCATGGCGGTTCGACATTCCATTGGCACCTCATCTTCCACCTACGATCAATGAATCAAACAAATATCCACGTGTTCGGTATTATTTGAAATTTGTTATTGACAAACCTTGGTACAAGCGAAATACCGATGAAACTCTGTATTTGGCAGTATTTCCGCATATCAACCTATCGAGCAATCCACAATGCTTGATGCCATATCTATTTGGTGATCACAATCGTAAAGATGTTACAGTGAAAGGTACTATGGATAAACTTGGTTATGTACCCGGTGAGACAATTACGGGAAAGTTAGAAATTGAAAATCCAAGAAGAATTTTATTGAAAAAACTGCGTCTCTCTTTGGTTCAAGAATCAAGAATCGAATGTAATACACACAAGGTAACAATTCTCGAAATGATTCTTCCTACGATTACTAATACAAATCAGGAGCTAATAGTGGAAAGATTTTCTTTACCCATTCCTCCGACATATATGGCACCATCGTATCAATTTATGGGTGGTTTTCATTGTACTGCTAATGTTAATATTAGCTATATGCTAGAATTTGACGTTAAAGTTGAAGGTATGTTTACGAATCTCAATATCAATATCCCGATTACCCTTGGAACGGAATTCGATGCAAATCCGAATGGACATAAGTTACATGAAGCATCAAAAGCATATCCTAATTTTGTCTCTTATCATCCAGAAATAGTCGACGATCCGCAATATAATCCGCCGCCTTATTCATCTGTTTCATAATAAAATTTATTTAACTTTATTTAACATTCTCATCTCTATGCTGATCTTATTAAGTATACTATTTACTAAACAATAAAAATATTTCTTCGCTCATCTTTCTTCATTGCTTATATTTAAGAACGTTCATTAGACTATTGTGACATTATTGGATCGAGAGAAGGACGCTTAAATAAATATGTACAAAAAAAAGATGATTTGATGTGTGCAAAGTTCAAATTTGAGTGTTATACCATGATAGAGATTTATGAAAAAAAGTTCATGTAGTAAAATGCTTATGACGCTTTCTCGTAGTGGCATGATTCTATAAAAAAATGCTTCGACAAAAATGGTCGTCATATATGAGTCATTTATGATTCATTATTGTGCACATAAAGGACGCAGTTGAGTGTTTTTTTCTTTCTCTACTATAATCTTAACGAATGACACGCGGTTGCCGTTAATCAAGGAAGTTATGGTAAAAAAAAGACTTGACTCGTAAAAATCGAAATAGTTGAAAATAAATTTCATATCTAATTAAAGTGATGTCTTCTATCGATAATATTATTAATATTCTTCGTAGTTCTGCACGACAGCAATACAATAGCAAACAAATTGATGCAACGAATGAAATTGTTGAAAACAATGTTCGCACCCTATTTGAACAAGATTATGGTTGTCATTATATTTCGAATGCAAATGGTGAATTATCAATAAATTATCCACGTCGAATTCTCGTGCCTGTTGTTGATAAATGGTCTATAGTACAAACGGCAAAAATTCAATCATCTGTCGATATTCGTGATCTATGTGTTCGATCGTGTTTTGCTAGATGTCGATCTCGGTTGGTTGCTCCTGCAATATTTATCGAAGGAAGATATATTTGTCGATCGGCAACACTTTCTTCTTGGGGTGAAATTTATCCACGATTCAGTATGGATCTATTAATAGATGCTGCCAGTCGACATTCTGTTCCACCAACAGGCAATACTGACGAAACTCTAAGCGATATCGAACAACCTCAACAACGTAGTGTTTTCGATAAACTTCGCGGTGCTGATATTGATCTATTGAAAATATTCGATATCGGTTCAATAGTTAATTTGATGGTACAAGAAAAAAATCTTCTATTCGGTTTAAAAATAACAGCAACAGAGAAGTCAGATAAATACGATCGATATAGAATATTTCAATTGATATCCCTTCCCTATCCTGGATGTGAACATTTTCGAGAGGTAGCCGCACAGAAATATAATAGTGAATTTATATTACATGATTGGTCTGTGTCGAAAAATGCTGCCATACTCGAAGTACCAAATCATCTTTCGTCGTGTGTAGACACCGATTGGTCAACTTGGCGATCATGGAGTACTATTCATTTGACTCAAAACTACATGCAATTACTTCTCCGTCATCTTGAAAAAGATAAACGTGGTATTCTTATTCATTGTCTATCTGGATGGGATCGAACACCATTGTTTATATCGTTACTTCGTCTATCATTATGGGCTGATTGTGCTATTCATCAATCACTGACTGTTGAAGAGATCATCTATTTAACACTTGCCTACGATTGGTATTTATTTGGACATAACTTACAGGAAAGATTAGCACATGGTGAAGAAATTCTCTATTTCACTTTCATGGTACTTCCACATTTGATTGACGATAGATTTATTTTTCGACCATCAATGACCCCTCGTCAACATGTGACAACTGAAATTAATGATATGAATCATTTAGATAATTCAATGAATGATATTCCTCGCAACTTGCCTCAATCACATTGTGTTAAAATTGAACAAGACACGAAAAAGGTGCGCGAAGAAAAATTACTTGCTGTATTTCATGTATTTCATACTTGTTATCGAAATATCGTACCAGAAAATTCAACGATGTTAAATAATAGACCATTAGCATCAGTTATGACTCGTAAGATCAAGGACTTTCTAATAAAAAAATGATCGTAATTTAATGAATGTTTTCTAATGCTTTGTAATATATCGAAGTGACATAAAGTCATACGATTTGTTTTCTGCATTTATTAATATTATTGTATTTGCAACGGTTTCGAAGCATACTGTAAGAAAAATAGTTTTCGCCGCATCCAAAAAGTCCTGCATGAGCTTATATCACATCTTTCTTAAAATTGATACAACTAATGACATAACCCTTTACGGCTGGATGTTGCCGTTTGGCAACATTGTGCCAATATTTTAAGAAAGGTCTAGCTATACTGTGAATAGATAGTGAATCAATAGTTCAATAATTACTACAAAATATTTTAGAACACACTCATAGCCCATGAAACAAAATGAAAACGTTCAGCTGATAAAATTACTGGAGTCCTCCTGAATACTTCTAAGGAACAACTGAATCATAATATATGTTCTTATGGTACCCTCAATCATTCAATTTCACAGGTCACTAGTGGTAAATTTCACCTCCTTAATCTATTGTATATTGTATCACTCAAAGAAATGATTCAATGAGTACTGACAATAAGAGGTATGAATGATGTTGCCCAATGGCAACAGCCGGCCATGAGGGGTCAAATTTTTGGAAAAATTATTTTTCGTTTTCGACCATCGTTATTCGCTATTTTTTGTTTTTTCATTTACTCATACAAGAGCAAAGCATACAAAACATATCTGATGCATTTACATAGTTTTTCTAGCTTTAAATGGAATTTTCTATGAAAAAAAGCCAGCATGATAGTATTGCAGCTCTCAATAACTGGATGGAAATGGATATTTAATTTACGTATTGGCACGGGTGTAGAGAAATAAAAGATCTACAAGAATACCTATTCTGATGCCAACTAACACAAAACCCATACATCTACTCTCTTCTTAAGTTCAACGTATGTCAAATTTTTCGTACAAAAGTCGATTTGAACCGCGGAGAAACTGTGCAGACGTATTGTATATATTTTATACACTTTTTTCTTGAACAATTAAATGAAAGGAAAGCAAAATAGTGAATTTTGATGATCGAAAATGGCAAATGAATTTTTCAAAGTTTGGCCCTTTACAGCCGGCTGTAGCCAAATGGCAACATACAGCCATTCAACATAGAAGCACCGTTCAATTTTAAGAAATAGTTTTTTGCTATCTCTATGACAGGACAAGAAAATATATGCAGAAGAAGAGTTTTAACTATGTCGCTTTTGGGAGCCGGCTGGAAAGGTATAAGGCGTACTTTCATATCAGATGGTACGAATAAATATCAACAAAGAATGATTTCTCTGTATTGCTATTAAATCAAATAGAGATTCTTTTCTATTTCAACAAAATTAACTCTACTGAATCTACGAAGAATAGTAGTGAAATAAATTGCTTAAAATTGTCATTTCAGAGCAGATATACACATCTTGTATTTTTCCAATAGTTAGTGAATATCTTAGAAATCTATTGTCTAGTAAATATACAGATTAACACACTCACTGTTAAGAATCCCTTTAGCAAAAAAGACGACTATCTTTAGTTTAGTTAATCAATGTTCTAGTTAATTCATACTGATTCTTTATAACTTTAAATAATAGACTTAAGTGCCACGTCTCCAACTCTCCGAAGTCATGATTAAATATTATATGCTGAAAATGAAACATAGTTTCACCTTTCAAAATAAATCATTTTGACATAAGTGTGACATCGAAGAAAGAGAACAATGAAATATTTGTAATAATGTTTCTTTTTAATATTCTCACGAGTTTTGATTGATTAATTCTTACGGTTGCTGATAAAAAAGAAAACAATACAGTCGAATCGATTTTTACAGAAAAATTACAAGATTGAAGTTGAAGTAGCAGTTTATTGTCTTCATTGAAAGAAAACTATTCCCAAGCAATTCGACAAGGAACATAATCTGGAAATAAACTTGATGGTAGCTGTCTATCTTGGACAAACACATTAAAAAATAATTATTAGCTAGCATAAAATAAATGATGTCTTACAAAACAGCAGTTTCATGTATTTTATCACCAATCATGACATATGTTACATCGATCATTTGTCTATTGATAAACTGTAAAGAATATTAATCTGTTATCATAGTATATTCGCATCTATTAGTTTATATCAATAATCCATTCGATGGCAATACGAAATATTGAGTTCATCGAGTCGATCGATTCGTTCTATCTGTTTGTGTTTCGTTTGAATACCAATCATGTTATCATGACTTTTTACTTTTTTTCCAACTGTATCAAAGTATCATCAGAAAATTTTGTAAATTCAAATGTAAACGTATTTAACAGTTAGTTATTATCCTTATTCAAAATCAGATTAATTAATTTCAATGACAATTAATCGTAACACAACAAATTGGTTATCAGAATACGGCGACATCTATGATGAAAATTCTCGTATCAGATATTAATGATGATTTAATTTTTAGTTGAATCTATTACTAATTTCAATGGAGAAATAAAACAAAAAACAGTTTCATCCTCCGATATGATCAGCACAGAAATGTCGAACATGGCTCGATTAAGTACATGTCGTCGTCGTCTTCCTCCCTCGCTCCCTCTCTCCTATAGAGGGGTTTGTTTATTTATTTTTAAGTTATTGATCTTGTAACAAATACTGTTACATTTTCTAGATTGTGATTTCTATCTCTGATTTATTATCTTCTATCAGTAGTTCTTCATATTGTTCAACCTCAATGTTTTGCGTCTGTTTTAATAAATTCATCTTACCAGTAAATCAAAAGATTCATCGTTTCATTGTCGTGAAGTCTTTTCCAAATGGTATTACCTCGTAAAATCAAAACAATTGGAAATCGACATGAATTAAATACTAGAAAACGTAAAACGACAATAACGAACAGTAATAATAAAAAGAAATCAAAACGACGTTTATTATTAAAAAAATTAGTTCATACAAAACGAAACAAATTAACCAAAGTATATTTTATTAAATCGTAGAAATAGAATCATATCGTTTTTTTTGCTTTTATTTCTAGCGTGTGGATTTAAACGATCCTTCAATAAATACTATAACTCTACGACGAAGCCGACGTTTAAATAATAAACATAAACAACCAATTTCTCCTATTGTAGTAAAAACATATCCACTACGATCACGTTTACAACCTACAAATAATACTATTCCAATAGTCACTAATCATTGTTCACATTCAATAAAACAAGAGCATTTATTCTCATCAATGGGTCTTCGCAATGGTAAAATAGTCAATCTACGTTCCTTTATATCGGGTTCAACAACACCTACAAATCAGGATATAACAGCATCATCATTGCCTTTACTTTCATTTAATCCTCTACCAATTCATCACCCAACAACACTATCCTATTCATCTACAAATACAAATAATAATAATAACAATAATAATAATAACAACAATAATAATAATAATGATTTGAATTCATTATACTATTATTCGAATATAACTAATCATGCATCATTAGATCCAAGTAAATATTTTCCTACTCGACTTGATATTCTTCTCGATCGACCACCAGTTTCACGTGAAAAACAAGTTGAATACAGATGGAATCATGAAGATCGCTCAATGAACATTTTTGTTAAACATAATGATCCATGTACTTTCCATCGACATGTAAAATGATTATTTCATTTTTTAAATCCATATCTATTGTTTGGTCTTTTTTTTTGTTAAAGCCTGTAGCACAAAGTACTGATGCAGTTCGATGTAAAAAAGCATTCACAAGTGGTATTCATGTATGGGAAATTGAATGGTAGGTCATATCATATAGAGAATAAGAATATCTCTATAGCAGAACATAGTTTTATATGCTAATTTTCTACTGTTATTTTAGGAATACAAGACAACGTGGTACACATGCAGTAGTTGGTGTAGGCACGTTAAGAGCTCCACTTCATTGTCCTGGCTATCAGGCATTAGTCGGCATGAATCAAGAATCATGGGGATGGGATTTAGGTCGAAATAAACTTTATCATAAAGGCATCAATAGTGTCTATGCGGCAACGCAATATCCATTAACAGTAGCAGGCTCATATAATTTATTATCTCCAACAACGTCTTCATCGTCTGCTATGGCTGATCCAGCTGATGCAATAAATAACAATGGCGTTGCATATTCAACAAAGTCCGATGAAGGTTTTGTTGTACCCGATAAATTTCTTGTTATTCTTGATATGGAAGAAGGAACATTATCATATATTGTCGACGGACAATATCTAGGTGTAGCATTTAGTAATCTTAAAGATAAAGGCGCACTTTATCCTATGGTATCGTCGGTATGGGGTCATTGTGAAATAACAATGCGTTATATAAATGGATTAGAACGTAAGTGATAGAACTGAAATGAAAAGAAAAACAATTTTTTTTTTTTTCGATATTTAAAAATCTGAATTTTTATAGCTGAACCACTCCAATTAATGGATTCATGCCGTCGACTGATACGTAAACGGCTAGGACGAACTAATTTACATTTGATCAATGAATTGCCATTGCCTAATTCTCTTCGAAACTATTTGATTTATCAATAGAAACAATAATTTTTATTTTCCTTCGTTTGCGCTTCTTATTTTGTTTTCATCTCTTTCTCTCTAATGATCTTCTTTATAAATATAAATATAAATATAAATATAAATATAACTTAAACAGTGCCCTGTATCATATTAGATAGTTGTCTTTTTTTTAAATCGCTGGTTCTCTTAAACAAACAAAAAACAAAACGTTTTTTTTCTTTTTTTTTGTAAAATAGTTTGTTTTCTTTTTGGACGTTTTGCTTGTAAATTGTTGTGTGCGTGGTCAATTTTCTTCTTCTTTTTCTTTTCTTTTTTTGCAAACACTGGAAAACATTTAATGGCATGTGTGTATATATACATATATATATATATATATATATATATATATATAAATGAATGTCGAGCACAAAAATAATATTTTATTCTTGCAGATTTGCTTATGAACTCTGATACATTTTACAATCAGACACGGCAAGAATATATAAATGAATAAAACGTTTTAACAGAAAAAACTTTTTTTGCCTCTTGAATAATAGAAAGCGACATCCGCTTGTCAGTGTTGATGATAGTCTGACGAAAAAACGTCTCGAAAATAATCATCAACTTTCATTGATGAAGATGGCGTATGCAACAAGAACATTTTGGTCACAAGCTGAAGCTTTGGACTTCATGATGGAAAGACAAAAAAATAATAATTCAGTAAATGATCGTTTTTATTTTCATTAAGATATATTATTTGTTTTCGTTAGGACGAAATTCTTTATTTATTCAGTTTTGAATCTCAACCGGAAGGAAAACGTCGATATCAAGTTGCTGATATTGATATTTTTATTCATGAATACTAGTAAGGAGTCTTAGTGATTAGTTGTTTTATTTATAAATAAATAAATAATTTAGCCAATTACCTGCCAATCAACGTCATACATACGAAATTATTGTTGATAGTAAGTTGAATATTGAATAGATCTAAGGTTTTCAAGTTTATAAATTCTAGAAAAACCATCAAAACTTTATTTTGATCTTGAATATGATATTGTCGCTAATCCAAATATCGATGGACCTAGATTAACTACTAATTTTATCCAGGTAGAGTCTAAAATTTTGTTTTTAGACGAAATACGATGATTCTCTTAAAACTAAAAATTAATCAGTCATGATCATTGCTTTTAGTTTTCTGATAGTCCTGACTGTACTTACTACCAGAGTTACATGATGTATTCGTAATAATACCATTAAAAGTCGCCAACATTGAGAAACAGTTTAGAACTGCTGAAAAAAAGCTTTAAATGGGATTAAAAGTACAAACGCTCGCGAATTGAAAATAAAAAAGCAACAGAAGCTACACATGGAGAGTTCTAACTAAGACCTGTGGAGAATCTTTTGGCGAATGGGAGATTTGAACGTTCTCGATTTGAGAGCTTGAAATATAACTTTACTCCAGTTTGTTCTCAATTTTATGCGAAAACGAAGTGACGATTTGGATTATTCAATCAAAGATGTTCTTGTTCTGGATTCTACGTAAGTAAAAGAAAAACGATGTGAATCATTTTACTTTTCATATCTGTCTTTTAATAATTTAGATCACCAAAAAAGTTTAGTCGCCATTTGATATTTCAAACAAAAGATCCGTTTCTGGATAATATTGCCGTTGGCAAATTCGTTAATCTTATCTTAGAAGATATTCATGGTTGTTTAATCAATCATCAATGTCCAGGCGTAATAAATTCTTCATTGTCTCGAGTGCAACAAAATCAATCATATGCTGATTCAACAGTTTTTTCAAAAAATCTTCTTAATAGTCTTGAACCTCATTTATCACGTTTTGAACATTGTGATTGTATTGATGATTATTCACAACTCAAATTTAAAGATATGATAGAATTTATGGTTAATAAAAGTGACGGTACTGGAATAATATGGTTTTGTGATATGGGTAAGTAAATGTTAAAAGTTATCTTTAATGAAATTATCCGTCGAAAACTATTGTTGAGACTCAAAATTGTACTGTGACGTTTTTTGTTTTAAATTAAATCTATTTTAGGTGTTTATACAAAAAATCGAGCATTTCGATTACTTCGATCGAGTAAATTTGATAAACAAGAATGTTTTACAATTGCACCAGAAAATCAATGGAAACCAATTTTACGACGTTGCCGTTCTACAACCAGTAAACCGAACGATGCGGAACGGCAAACATTTATGGCTTCACTTGTTTATTTTAATAAGTATTGTATTTAACTTTTTAAAACAAAACTTGTGCTTGGACCTATATTCATTTAGACCAATTCGACGTTTTATTGATGTTGATGATGAAAATCCAACTGCTATACAAAGTATGAATTCACGTATGCAACGTCCAAATCATTCATCACCATCGTATATGACAGATGATATGCGAAAAATGTCGTTAGACTATCCAGAATTAATCAATTATATGTCGAATATAGCACGTGACAAAAAAGATGATGGTAACGGTATTCGTATCAGTCGATTATATAAAGCGAAAGAAATTCAAAATGATTTTCGATGGGAAATTAGTTTCCTGTATGTGGGAGATTATAAATATTGTGAAAAAATAAAACGTCATCATAAAGCAAACAATATTTAGTAAGCATTAATTATTCTATTATATGCAAAGAATTTTGTTGTTCATATTTAGTTTCGTAGTTGATATGCGTAAGGGAACATACAGACAAAAATGTCATGATACTGACTGTAAAACATTTCAAGGTGTTGAACAAACATTACCACAGCATGTCACTCCTTGGTTAATGTTGCTTGATGACGATTGGGAAAATCAAAATCCACAATCATTGCAGAAAACCAGCTAGATGGAACTTTTGATTGTTGTGTATGATTAAATTGTAAAATAAAAATATTTTTTTATGGGTAAAAAGATAAATAAATTCATGTAGTTGCTTAATGAAGTATCGATATTTTGATCCAAAGCGTGCTATGTATTTTGAGAGAGTACTCATCTGAAAAAAGAAACTGATACAATCCATTCATTACACGTCATATCTTTAAGTTTTAATGCTAACTAAAATAAATAAGTATTTTAAAAGGGATTGAATGATTATCCTAATCCTTAATTTCATCGCTAAGATCTAATAAATAGTAAGGTATCATGAAGGCGGATATTCGCGTAGCCCTGCATACCCACTCCTCACATAACGCTAGAGTACAATTTCATCATATTTGACGGTCAGAAGTGATTCTATGAAAGGCTAGCAATGCTAATTCATTTAATGACAACATGATTCAATGTTTGATTCTTTTGAAATCAAGAACAAATGCTTGACTTTTATAACTTAATTCCATTTTTTTTCGTGTATCAATATTAAGTGACGATGAATATGAATGAAATGTTATTCTGTTCTCGAATTCTCGATGATAAAAGTATTCTGAATCGTTAAGATCAACTAATAAGTTTCGGCCCACTTAAAGACTATGTAAAAACATTCATTCAGAAGGAAAAACTAATGCTCAGGCCGGGATTATAAATAACAACTAGAGCTTGGCATTAAAACAGATCATACTCCGCGTACCAGGCATCTCTAGAAGTTTGTGATCACACAATTAGGATTAGCCAATAAGAATAGGTCATGAGACAAGAAATGAATTCTTCTCATAAATATTTTGTTATCAATGTGTTACATTTTCACATCCTCTTTTCTTCAGTATGTGCATGAAGACTTATTAATATTAAAAAAAAACAAGATAGAGCCTATGAGTATTCATGTCCATTTAATTTTGATCATATTATTGATTCTCCCTCTCGTTTCGCTAACAGCTCATTTGTATCCAATAAGAATGTTTCAACTAACCTAAGTACTTTATAGAATATCATACATGATTATTTGACGATAGGGTGTGGGTGTGGGATAAAATTACTTGATGCAAATATTCATGCTTAATGTAACTATCAACTAAACAAGGGAATAAACTCTTCTCAATTGACTTCGTTGCTGTTGATTTCAGTCAGTATAAAAATATAAGTGTGTATCGAAGGGTTTTTTTCTGTCGCAAAAATATCTGTTAATTGGTTTCAGATGAATGATCACCGCACAAAGTTGGGTGTGGGTGTGAGTGTTGATTATCGTATATTTATCGATATACTCACACCCACACCGAAATAAATTAAAAAAAGAGAACTCCTGAAGCAACGAAAAATGACGATTTTAGGTCCTTGTCAATTGACGATCTGTTCACTGCATTCAAGGTTCTTTTCTCAATAATTGAATATAAGAAAATAGGCAGGGTGATATAGAATTTCATGCTCTATCAGAATCTATATTTACGTTTTTCAGTAAGTAATTCTATAGAGATGAGAAATTTAAAGAACTAAGTTTGATTGCAGAAAAAAATCAAGTTTGTGGGAATCTATATATGAATGTGCCTTCGTTGCAATCTATATATTTTGGTAATGAATATGTCTAAACTAAAACAATTATATAGGGTGATAGAAAACTCCACGGGCTTTCAGAATATGTAATTCGTTTAAAAAGAAGATGTTTTTATGGTAACGATTTAACTGAAATACGAACTGCAGCTTTTTTTTCAGGGGATATATTTTTGCCGCATCTAGAAACGTTATTTGTTTCCATAATTTCTCTAGAAGGATGCTGGTTATGAACAGTAAGGAAAAAGTAGGAGAAGCTGTTGAATATGTATAAAATAGATTGGTGCAAAGTTCATTTTCCTTTCGTTTCTAATCGATCCTGTGATAAAGAATAAGATTTTGTTTGAAAAATAATGTTCATATTTTTATTATCAAATACAATTATTTTACAGTTGAGAAATAAAAAAGAAAGAGAAACAGAGAAAAGAAAACAAGTTGTCAACTATATGACAATTGTCTTTAGTGCACATCTGTTATATACAACAAACAAAAGATTAAAGCCACAAACGAAATCTTGATATTTCAACATCTACTCGACTATGAGGAAAGAGAGCTTGAGCCATTAAACGATAAGGTTCAACTTTTTTGTAATAAATTTTACCAAAAATATCAAGAAAAGTAAATTCTTTCAAGTTTTTGACCAATTGAGAAAGATCTTGCTCAAATATAGTCACATGTTGAGCTAAAAGAAGAATTATATTATAAGTATATTTTCTCGTATAAGAGCGTCGTATTTCTATGTATATACCAACAGACTCGGGTGTTTGTAGAGACTTGAGCCAAGCTAGAAGTAAAACTTCATAACGATATATGCTATAATGTGGTCGATCTTAAATAAAGAAAAAGACAGTAAAATAATATCAATTTGTAAAATATATGAGAGATTGTATTAAAAATAATTTTCTTCTTTATCGAACCTAAAAGATTACTGTAAAAGATCTTCTCCATTTGTCATTCTTTTTTAAAAAATAAATCATTTTATATTTTGTATATAAGCAATTTTTGTTGCTGAATTCTTTTTTTTGTAAAAAATCGATTTACATATGAATTTTCTTATGGATAGTTTTAAAAAAGGAAACAGAGTAGTCGAAATAGATGTATAAGAAAAGACGTTGCTTTTTTGCGACTTCCTTCATCAAGTCTCTCTACAAGAATTTTACCAATCTATCAAGGCTCTTTACGGATTCTTCAAAAGTGATTTTATTATTTGCTTAATTCCATAGAGAAAGAAAGATGCTGTGAATGAGATCATCATTTCTATCATTTTCTGCTAATCATTTGATTTTTGACCAGATAACTCTAAGAGTATTATAAATTTAATTGATATTTTTAAATAAAATTTTCCTGAATCTTCGCTTTTTCCTTTTTTCTATGAAAATACACAAAAATGACATATATTATTAAATGAATAAGAATATCTTTTTCAATTTTTTTTCTAAACTTAAATCGATATCGAAGTTATCGATAAAATTCAAATAATTTTAACCACCAATGATTGCTAAATTTGTTCATAATCATTTTATGATAATGAATAAAATGTTACATATTTTCTCAAATTCAATCACAAAAAGAAAAAAGAAATCTATTCAAAAACTACAATTGTTGTTTTTTGTTTAAAGAATTTGAAGATAAAATGAAAGTTTTCAAAGCATTTGATCTTACTTCTCAAATATGTTGAATCTATGCTACATAAATATAAATCTTGTTTAGTATAAGAAGACGAACGACTTATATAGAACTGATACAAAAAAAAGGAGAAATTTTTCTTTCATATGTAACTGTGTATCATTATAAAAACATTTGTTTGAATAATAAAAGACAAAATAAAATTCATAATTAGGGATTTATTATAGCTGCTCCGTAGGAGATAGATCTTATTATGATTGATTTCGTTTGTTTAAAATAAACTTACTCGATGTCCATGGATAATCATCATATCGCCAAAGGCGTAATGTTTGTAAATGAGGCATATACGTGCTAAGAAAAGGCACAAGATGTTTACCAATAGAAACTGACTTGTTATCACCGTAATGACAACTCGGAAGCCGGAATTCAGCATATTGAACAGTACTTAATGCGTTGGTTCTCAGTTCGTTAGGTGTCTAAAAAGAAAACAAATAAATCATACTGGTCCGGTCTGGCAGGTAAACCGGTGAAATTCGATTAAAAACCGGCGAAAAAATGTGGACTTTTTTCGAAAAACAATTTTTTGAAAAAATGATTCCAGCTATGGACCAGTTCAGAAGCGCATGTAAAAGACACTCATCATAATGAATCTCTTTAAACGAAAGCTCAGAACAAATGATTAAAATAAAAATCGTTTTGAGCTCCACTTTTAAGCACTCCGACAGAAAAATGCAGAAAACCGCCGGTATATGAAAGCCGATTTTTCGGCCGGAAATTTTTCTGGTGGATTCCAACCAAATTCCTGTGCTTTCTGGCAGCAACCTATTGGAAATCATCGGAAAAAAATCCGAAATTTTCCAACCCGAATACTGTTTGCATGTTTTTCTGAACGATACAGGACAAAGTTGTAACCGGTCCGGCCGGACAGGACCGATTGAGATAATTGAACCGGCCGGTTCCTACCGGTTTTTATCGATTTGAGAAAATTGTAAATGTTAGTTAATATTAGTTAATATTGCATTAGCAGCGCATGGTACCAGTCAACTTATAGTACATATTTTAAATGAAAGAAGCAGTTATTATATTCTTAAATTTAAACGTTCCTATCGATGGCTTTAGGTGTGTCAACAACATCATTGCTGATCCCATAGAAATGTGTTCGATTGCAAAGAACCATTATGAACCTCAATTTTCCAATCATCCTCCCGATCATTCAGAAATTGAAGCTGAAGCAGAAAATCTTGATCTTGAAATTGGAAATGTTTTGAAAAACAATCCATCTCCTTCCATCATTATAAACTATTTAGACTTGAAACGCTCCATCTCATCACTTAAAAATAAGAATTCTACTGGTGTGGATGGCGTTTCAAATAGAATTATCAAAATTCTCCCATCGAATCATCTATCCTTTATCCTGAAATGTTTCAACAACTTCGCCAAGTCGCTACAAACCCCTCTTCAGTGGCATACAGCTAAAATGATTTTATTATCCAAAACAAAATCACGAATAATTCCCATCGATGAAACCAGACCAATTTCACTTTTACCTTGCTTTTCGAAATTATTCGAAAAATGTTTTCTGCTTCATTTTCGCCGATGGATCAATGATCAAGGTTTACTCCCGGATGAACAAAGTGGTTTTCGTCCAGGTCATAATATGGCAGTTAGGTTGGTTGCAATTGTCGGCCAGATTGGACAAAGCCTATCGGAACATACAGCTGCTGGTGGTCTATTTGTTGATTTTCGTACCGCATTCAATCAGCTATGGTTTAATGGATTATGGATCAAGTTAACAAAATTAAATTGTCCCATGACGCTAATTTCCTGGTTGCGTCACTATCTATGTAATCGAAAAGCCTTCATCGATATTAAATCATCTCAGTCCACTGTGTTCAATCTAGCTAAAGGAGTCCCACAAGGCAGTGTGGTCGGCCCTGTTTTGTTCATAGTTTACCATCACGATCTCCTTGCATCGCTGGAAACTATTCACTGGAAACATTTATTTGCCGACGATTTATCTATCTTATTTTCGCCGGATTCTTCGTTAGCTCCATCGAACATGATCAGGGATATCACTGAACAAATCATTAAGGTTCTCAATCGACTCATTGATTATTCTAAATCCTGGAAGCAACCGATAAATTTCAATAAAACCCATTGGATGTTATTCAACAGACAAGTTGCTCCAAAGTTACCAGAAATTGTTTGTCAGGGTCACCTTATCAATCATGTCAATAGATTTAAATATCTAGGCACCTTTCTTAACGAGAAACTTTCATTCAATCCGCATATTGATTACATCAAATCAAAAATCAACTCAAACCTGAAAATATTCAAACGGTTATCATCGACCAGAATGACTTGTGAAAAAATTAATTTCAAATTGTTCAATGCATACATCCGCCCCTATTACCAATCGCTTCTCAATGTCTATCCAATTTTATCGGACGGGAAGAAAGGTCAATTAGAAGGTCTAAATCGTAAAATCTTTCGAATTATCCACAACTGGCATGGCGCCAGAAATATTGAAGTTACGAATTTGAACAAATACCGATCAATAGCCGAACTTACTGCAGCACATTGGAATAAACTCATAGACACAATTATTAGAACAAATCCTAGTGTTATTCAAGATTATTTACAACACAAAATGTCAATTCTATACATCTACGAATATGTAAACAATCCAGCACTAGCGATGGAAAGAAAAGCTGTCTTTGAAAGAGGTAGAATCCGCTAATACATTTGGGCTTTAATAACGGATAATCGTATGACACTCCTCGACCACATCTTATCTTATCCTCGTTGACCGCTTTGTCAAAGCAACTGCTGTTTCTCGATGTTGTCTTCCTAGGTTTTCAATCTCATCCTCAACCAATAATCCTTATCCACTAAATTTAGTATGGTTCAAAACAAAATCGCCTATTTACGTCATCTACTCTCTTGCTCTTATTATTGTCTTTTGATCTTCACATTTGTATCTCTTATTTTTTTATTTTGGCCGATTTTTCGTCTCGTTCCTTCCATTTTTGTTATTTCAACTTGTTTTTCTTTCAGGCTACAGGAGCGAGTTCGTTCATAGCCATGGGATATTGTTTAACGATTATCCCTTAATAAAGAGCTCTAATTAAAAAAAAAATCTTAAATTTAAACTCAAGTTTTCATTCTTTCAACTTCTTTTCAAATAAAAGTTTTATTATTTACTGTTTATAATTTTTTAACAATCAGAACGTAGTCATGCATTGATCGTTTATTTGCTTTCATCTTATTTCTTTGATTTGATTTTAATTTCTTCTTTTTAATATGCCGACATGTCATACATGACGTGCTGTACGCGGTACAGCGTCGTAAACCACCGTTTCAACAAGTTCATTCACCAATGAAATTGAGCGACAACTACGAATTTATGAAAGGACATCATATGAATTACCGGAAGATTAGTAATCCATTAATATTCTGGCGTGATCAACAAAAAGTTTTACCCATTCTATCGAAAACAGCAAAATCTGTTTTTGTTATACAAGTGTCATCTGCCCATGTCAAAAAATACGGTCAGTATACGGCCGTTTACGGTGAAAAAAACGATATCTAAACGGACCGTATACGATCATGATACTGGATGCAGGAATACGACCGTATCGTAATGAGAATCCGGCGTATATACGACCGGATACGGCGAAAATACGGTATCGTTTACAGTGGCGTATTACTGCATCCAGTACGATGGGAAAATACGGACAGTTTACTGCCGTAAGGATGTCGTTTTCCTACCGTTTACTTTCAGAAAACGGACCGTAAACGATATCCGTTTTGATCGACTTCGGTGCTGAATCTGAACGACATTTCTCAAAAGCGGGACAAGTTGTCACTGAGCAACGATCTCAGTTGGATCCTGAATGTTTAGAATCACTTGTCGTTCTAAAAGAAGCTTACTTAATTTAAACAAAATATGACCTAAATAAAAATCATAGTATCTTTTTTTATACGTATGTTTCATTTAACTTGTGGATTTAATATCTAGTGAAATGATCTTTTTTTAATCTTGTATTTAACGTAACTGTTTGTTTTCATGTAAAAAAAGCGTTATTTCGTATAAATTTTGAACTAAGTAATAACAGAAATCAAAATTAAATATCGAACTTAGGGGGAAGGAAAGGAACTTTATCTCGTACAGAAAAAAAGTTATTCTTCAAATTTACGATTGCCTTTTTCATATTTGAGATTCTAATATAAACTATAAACATTCTAAGAAAGGGAAACATATAACCTGTGCCTATGCACATTCAGAAGAAAAGATTGTCTTTATAAGCAATTATATAATCTAAAAATGCTTCGGGAACTGGCCGTATCGGACCGGTTGAAAGTTTCTTCACCGGTTCCAACTCTGATGCAGTATATTGACTGATCAAATAAATTTATTTACATTCTATGACAGGATGTGGGTGTGGGTGTCACTAAAAGGTAAAATAAGAGTAGCACCCACGCACCCAAACCCACAATTAATTACCTTCTCTGTATTCATTTAGTGTGAATAATTAGATTATTGTACAGAACTTGTACTTCTTATGTTTATGTTGTGATGTTATATATGATCGAATTAACATAAATTGGTTTGTGTCTATTCATTATTTTTTCTTTTTCTTTTCTTTCGTGCTTATCTTCCCTGTGGTCATATTATCGGTGCTTATTATTCCAGCGCTTATCTTTCCGTGTTCCTCTTTCCTCGTGCTCAACTTTCACCAATCCAAGAAAATTAACCTGTTCTTGACGAAGACACAAATTCAATCGAAAATGAAACAGCAATTATTGGTAAATTTCTTTTTTTCTTCTGCATAGGCAAGATCTGAAAAAATGAAATTTTAGAGAAAATTAAATCAACAGCGAAATGGAGTCGTCGATTTGAATCAGAAATGAAATTACCAAAGAGCGGTGTGCCATATGCTTGCCCAGGTTGATCAAAACGGACTCGTTTACAGTCTGTTTATCGACGGTAAACGATGTCAAAACGGTATACTTACTGCAGTAAATAGACCGTATTTGCCCGTAATATCTGACACAGTAATACGACACCGTAAACGGGACTGAATTTTCATGGTTTACGGCTGTTTGTGCTCCGTACTCTCATGATCATACGGTCCGTATTACTGCGCCAGATATTACGGCAAACTTTCGCCCGGAAAATAGTCGTAAAGTAACCGTCAACGGCCGTATACGGACCGTACTGTTCGACCTGGGAAGCGATGTTATGGACATTTTCGATTATTCTTGATCTTGATTCTTTGATGTTTCATTTTTGATTCTTTCGATTATTCATTTTAAGTCATTTATTATCATTGATTTTTCATTAGGGTGGACTATTTTGATAATTTTTAATAGTTTATTGTAATGCATTTTTATTCTTAATTGTAGTTGATCGTTTTTGATAATTTTCAATTATATTTATTTCTAATGCATTATAATGCATGCTTATTTGTAGTGGGTTATTTTTTATTTAATTCGTTAAAATGCGTTTTGTTTGTGGTGGATTGTTTTGTTTTCGTCATTTTTTTAATAATGTGTTTCAATTTTTATAATAATTTTTTTAATTTCATAATTCTTTCTTTTGTTATGGTGAGGATAAAATGTATGAATCGGTATCTTGACGTGGCCGTTTCATTAAATGCATATTTTGTACAATAAAGGTGAGCATGGTTATGAAAAAGATATTTTTACAATAGTTTGGATGAATATGGGGAAGAGACATTGTTACAATACTTGGGATGAATATGGGGGAGAGAGATATTGTTACAATAGACTGGATGAATATGAGGGAGAGACCTTATTTACAAATATTATATTATGAAAATATATTTTGAGGATAAATGTTATTACAATAAATGTTATGAGAATGGATATTCAAATAGAAATATCTTTTACATTAAGTGAGAAGGATAAACAGAAAATATTTTTTACAATAGATAGGAGGAAGTAAATTAGGTTACAAAAAAGTAAGAAAATTAAGAAGATACATGGGATGGACAGAGGTAACAAGACAGAAAGGTAGTTGATATGAATTAGAACAACAGATGGATACAATTTAGTTATTGTTTTCCGTTTTTCGTTTTTTGTTCTTATTTTTATTTTATTTTATTTTATCTTTTTATTTTTTTGATTATGGTAATGGTTTGATGGCTTCTTTACTAGGCCGTTTCTTTACTCAGAGGTGTCTTAGGCTATCTGACACTCTGTTATAGCATACATGACTGGTATGTCGTCTAGAGGCGTGTCTTCGAATATCTCTTGCCATATTTGATGAAAACGAGAATCGAAATGTGCTAAGCATGGTGTGTATGCGAAATGAAGAAGGATATCTTAGAATTTTGACACACACTAAATAAAAATGTGTCGGATGTGTCGTAAACTACGACACAAAGCACGACACATTCGAGTACGACATGAGGTGCTCGTTGCGACACATTCTGCCCAGCAAGACCACGACGCATTTTTCACGATACATCCGACACATTTTCATTGGTTGTTTTTGAAACGCATATTTCGATATTTTTTAATTAAATTGCATATATCTCTTTATTTTTTGAAAATTCAATCTGATCAGATCCTAAGATCGGGCTGATTTGGAATTGGTCCGATTCCTATCAGACTATCCAGTGTAGTCCTTCCCGGATCATGGATCGGGATGGCAATTCCTTGATTATAAAGTAATCAAGAATTAAATTCAAAGAAAATCTTATTTCGAGAACTTATCTTCCATGCGTTCAACGATGTTGCTTATATGTCGCTGTATGTTCATAACAAAACGGTGAACGACTAGTCGACTGACAGAACGCGAAAAATATAGGACACATTTTTTTCATTCAAAGTGCGACACAACAATTTACGACACATACAGCCGACGCATTTTTATTTAGTGTGCAAGTCAACATAAATATATGTTCAATTGGATTTGTATTAAGAATAAATAAATAAGTATATAATTTTTTGAATTTTTTTTATTATTTATTATTTAGTATTTAATATTGATTATTGATAGTGAGCCCTTAGCATCATTGAATTTCGAACAAAATTATTGTTAGATAAATAAACATATATAATTATGACTTGGGTGACGGTTAGCCTTTCTACTCGGTACGGCATATATTAATAAACCAATATTAGAAGTGTTTGATGTTGTTAAAATGGTCATAAGTCACCTCAAGCACACAAATATTCATTTCACTATCGTGATCAAGAAACAAAATTAATCTCCTCTATAACCTTTTAAAACTCATCAACTATTAGAGGTCTCAGATACATCACTCTGTAATTGCATTCAATTTGTATTTACCACACATGACATTTCTCAAAGAAAATTCAAGATTAGTAATATTATATCTTCATAAAAACACTTTCTCAACAAAAACAAATTCATGATAATCTTGTGCCAAACTATTCTTCAAGTATCCGTTTCAAATCATAACACGTAACGGGGAAAAAAGACCACTTCATCAAAACAGATTTCCTTTAAATTTCTTTTCGGCAGATTTAGAGACACATTATAATACACTTTCAACTATTATCTCTCTTATTAAATCAACCACAATGCTTTCCAAATAATTCTTGCAGAAGAAAATAATTTCGTAAAAAGTGCAGCTTTTTCTTAATTTTGATTGCGATATTCAAATCAACTCATGTAGATGCCTACGAAAAAATAGAGTTATATTCTATCCTAACAAAATCAAATTCATAAAGCATAACAATATTTTTTTTTCAACATCCATTGAAATTAAAAGTAGAAATAATGCATTATAATGCATTAAATGAAACAATGTACCAGTATCGAGATGAAAATATAATTAAAAATACTGGCATAAGAATAAATAATAATGCGTTTAACATAATTTTAATCATATTCAACTACAAATGTAATCTATGTGAATTGAGTAGTTTAAAGTAATGCATTAAAGTGTAGTTTGTCCGGTAAAACAGAAAACAGAAAACTTTGAATATTCTTGTTTTGTTGACTTGAAACCATTAAATAAATCATGAATAACAATAATGATCAAATAGATGGGAAAATGCTTTTCGAACAAATAATAAAATTTTTGATAATATTGTGTGAAATTACTATTTATTATTGTATTTTAAATTATAATATGTAACAAAGGAAAAAGGTCAATTTATGGAAACTGATTTTGTTTAAATTTGTTTCGTTGTGTAGAAATATGGATACATTGTGATATAGTTTCCAATTATTATTTCTCTTGCTCAATCTAGCAGAATGCTTTTCAAATAACTATTGTAAATGAAAATAATTTAGGGGAAAAAACTAGATACGAAAAAATGAAGTCCTATTTCATTCTAATAAAACCAACTCGATAAAACATAGCAATATTTCTGTTAAGAGTCTATTGAAATCATAAGTGAAAATAATGCATTATAATGCATTAAAAAATATGATCAATATGAAATGTTAATTTATTGAAATATAAAACATTAAATATAATAGAAAGACTTATACTCAATAGTAATACATTAAAATGTATTTGTATGAATGAAATTCTTAAAGCAGCACTTTTGCGATGACTTTTTCTTCTTATTTACTTAATTGATATAAAACAATTAGCGTATATAATACTTTTTATTGATGATGAGACTATCAATTAGATGCTTTTCTGATTAATTATGTCTTATTTCGGTCGTTAATGAATAGACTAAATTGATTAGATATATAAGGAGTGTTCTATCATTCAATTCTATTTCATAAAATTTACTCGCTTGAAAAAAATAATTCGAAAGGCCTCACGTGAAAATATTACATTTACTATATCATTGATATTTAATTTATCTTTTGTTTATTCCCTGTTGAATCAAACTTATTATTTTTCCTTTCTTTTTTCTTCTTTATCTTATGCTTTATTTTTCTCCACATTTTGTCTCGATCAATAATCAATATTAAATAATAAATAATAAATAATAAAAAGAATTCAAAAAATTATATATTTATTTATTCTTAATACAAATTCAATTGAACATATATTTATGTTGACTTGTCAAAATTCTAAAAATTTTATTTGTTTTATGATAGCCTAAAAGACTTGTTTCGTTTCATATTTGTAATTTATCATTAGGAATTAAAGTTATAATCAATGCCTCACACTAACTGTATCAAGCCATGTATTTTTAAACAACCATAAACATTGTCCTATTTCTGTGACAATGGATTTTTCTCTTTCACGTCTTTGATTTCTTGTGCGATTATAGGTGACAACAAAATCAACATTACAATCCAGAAATGGCAAATAATATTTGGGTTTTATGTTACAGATGTTCTATCAATCTATACAGCACTTAAGTGGTGTGAGTGTAGGTGAGGGGTGTGGGTTGAGTATGAATAAAGCTACGTCACACACACGAATAGTGTTCTTCCAGGATGATATTAATGGAAGAATTCAGATCATATTTTTATTACACGAGAAAATTCCGAGTGATTAATTCACGTGGTTTTTCCCTCTACTGAAAGGAGGGTATTACGAAAAACGAGTTAAATGCGTTCGTTCGTCTGTACGTTCGTTCGTTCGTTTGTTCGCTCGTCCAATAGGAAACTAGATGCATAAACTTAACTAACCTCGAACAATATCCTGCAGGGATAGGGTTGACCGTAGGTAATCGGGGTCGCGGAACACGATGGCGTTGTTAGTTTTCTGAAATTTCGCTTTTTGCTTTTTTTAGGAGAGAGAGAGAGAATTTTTTATAAAAAAAATATTTTTCTATAAGGGTTGACCGTACACTGTAAAAAAAATCCGTAGAATACTAAACCCAAAAAGGGTTGATGAATGTGCAACGTATAATAAACCATTTTTTCGTTTTTGAAAATTTTCATAAACCCTAAAGGGTATTTTCCACATAATCATAAACCCTTTGAGGGTTTATGAAAATTTTCAAAAACGGAAAAAGGGTTTATTATACGTTGCACTTTCATCAACCCTTTTTGCGTTTAGTATTCTACGGATTTTTTTTACAGTGTAGGTAATCGGGGTCGGGGAACACCATGGCGTTGTCAGATTTTTGAAATTTTGTACTTCAAACAGGTTTATAATGGATTAGGAGCTGTTTAGATCGTCGCATTTTCTTGATAGGAATGGTTTGTGGGGAAATTTTTTGTGGGTACCATTCGATGATGTTTATAGTGTTAGATGTATCGTATGGTTATGTGAGATATTATTACGAATAGGCTATAGGCATCGTGCGGTTGAATTGATTCTCAATTTGGGAGCGGCGCTCCGGAGGGGCGCCGACGAACGACTAGCCGCTCACCTGCACTGAGAGTTTGAAAGCTTTTTTCAAAATCTTCAGTTTATTCTTGATATGTAAAGTTTTATTGCATCACGAAGAATTTATTCAAACTTAACTCCTAGAATTCTAGATTAGCGCATCTACGAACGGACGCAAGCTGATAGGTACTCGGGAATCATGTCTCATTCTTCTCTAAATTGTGATGAATTTATCGCATATGTAGATGTAACTGAATTGAATTAATCCCACAACTGTTGTTTTCGTTTCTTTTTTGAAAATTCTCTTCGTTTTTATCTAATAATTATAGAATGAGGTAAGCCTTTTCAATCAATAATGCAGTGTTTAAAAGGGTCACGTTCAACGCCTATATGAGACCAAGCAANGTTGATCGAAGGTTTTTGGGGGCGTAGCTTGAGCTGTAGCAGATCGGATGCACTCAACTTCAGTATCGCCATATATATATTAGTAAGTAGTAATTAAATGCCGCTTTCTTGGCGATACTTCCAAGCAAGTTTTCTATTTATGCTCGGTTATCAATCGTGTTTTCCATGAAAATCGTTTCGAAGCTAGAAGCTATAAAATGTGAAGTCTCTCAGTTAGATAGTTTTGGATAGCTACGTTCCACTTGACTAAATCCTTTCAGTAGAGGGTTGGCGACGCAAACGTCGCGTTACCTTGTTTTTTCAAGATAAACTGATTTAAGATAGAGGAGGATAGAAAGCATGTCTATTCATGTTTGATGTGGAGGATAGAAGCATCATGAAAATCTAATTTTGATATTTATTTTCGTCGATAACAACAATCAATACGGGGTTCAAAGTATATAGTACATTATTCGACCACTTTACTGAACTAATTATCACCGATTATGTCACAAGAAGTCAATAGGGTGAATCAGGTAAGAATAAGAATTGATAGAATCAAAACAGGATATAGATTATAGTTAAAAAAAAAGTAAAATAGTAGCCGAGAAAGTGTTCCTGCCCAGTACCAAGTTCTTTTTTGCATTACTTAGTTAGACCTTTCAATCGCGATATTTTCTTGCGTTCTATCGTCACAATCAGTTATGTTTGAAATCTGGCGTCATTGTTGATAGACATACGAAAAGGTAAGCACTTGCTGTTGTGTAAAAAGAGTCATGTGATGAATAGATTGGAAGGGTTAAAGTCTATAGGAGTAAAGAGGAAATTCGATAAGCAAAAGTAGAGTGATCCTTCATATACATATTTGTATGCTTAAAAAGTCAAATTACTTGAAAATATTCTAATATCTTTTGTTTTATAATTTCGTTCGTTTTTTCCAAATTGTTAGATTGACGATATAGTCAACTGAAAGTATCACAGAATGTATATTAAGAGAAACCATGCTAGACTGTTTTTGAGTTTAATGCAAAAATTAATTACCCATCAACTTACAAGTCTTTTGCTTCGATTTTTTGCATAACCTAGGTCATCGAAAAGCTGAATGAAATATTTACGAATGATGACGATCTTGCCGATTTACTAGTATTTCTTGGTCGCCAAGGAACCAATAGTGTATATATTAAAACATTATTTTCTTTGGTTGCCAATGACAGAAGATTCAGAATGATGGCCGCACGCTATCTTCAAGAAAGTCGTAGTGTTTTGGTTGTTAATACTAATGATGGTAATTCCATGGCAGATGAAGAATTTTATAGACATATCTCACAATTACCAATAGTCATCGTTCCTGGTACTCAGAACAATTATCTGTACAGTTATACTGAAACTGGAATGCCAGTTCTCAATCTCGTTCAGGGTATACGTGCAATCCCAGCCGAGCGGCAGGCAATTATTATATCAAAGATAATGAGTACAGTCCACTCAGTGGCTGGAGAAAGTTCTCTAGTAGCTGTGTCAACATCTGAGGCACTCACACGTGCTCAGGTAATTGCTGGTAAAGTAGCTCCAATAGCCATTGTGGGTGTTCAGTTATCATGGGAAGCTTTAAAGAGTATTCGTTCATGGTGGCAAGGGAAAATAACTGGTAAACGATGTGCAAAGCAAATTATTGACGCGAGTGCAGGGATACTTGGTGGTTATGCTGGTGGAGCTGCGGGAATGGCGCTTGGTACAGCTATATTACCTGGTTATGGTACGTTGTGCGGTGCTGTCGTTGGAGGTTTTGCTGGTTCTGTCGGTGCTTCAGCATTGATGCAATGGTTGACAGAATATTTCTTTGATGTACCGAAAAGTGTTTCAGTAGAAAATGCTTACAATTTTTTGACCTTGCCACTGTCCTGTTCGAATGATGAAATTAATAGAAGATATCGAACATTGGCGCTTCAATATCATCCAGACAAAGGTGGAAATGCTGCGGATTTCCACAAATTGCAAATTTCAGTAGCGATAATTAAACAAGCACGTGGACAGGTAGTTTAGAACGTATGGTTTTTACTAAAAACATTGTAAGCTAGATACGAGTTCATATTTGTTTGTTGTCTTTAATTTATCTTTCTCTGTTGTGGATTCTAACAAACCCCAATATTGTGAATACGAAATAATCATGAATATATATAATTAAAATATTCGGTGCAGTATACATTTCCTAATCTCTGGATGGGTGTGGGTGTTTGAGTGTAGATTAATAAAAGAGTTAGTAGAAAATGTAAGATGGGCACCGAATGTACCCGAGCGTTAAGTCAATTTATTAGACGATATAGTGAAGTTATGTTGCGTGAATTGACTGAAAAATGACAGAATCAATGTAAATTAACTGCTTCTACCAGTACATCTCACGTCATTTAGATCGCCTTGAATATGTAAATTGCTTACCATTAAATACGCCAATGCTCACGGAAGAACACAAAGAGCGTCGAATTGAATGGGCCAAACAATATTTAAATGACGATTGGAAAGCTGCAATATTTACCGATGAAAGTTCATTTCAATTGTTTAGAAATACAATTCGTCGCTGGTCAAAATGAGCAGCAGCAGAAAAATAATAATTCCAAAAAATCGGCAAAAAGTTCATGTTTGAGGTTCCATTAGTTATCGTGGGAGAGTCGGTTTTCATTCTTCTCAAAATATTAGAAAACAACTTAATTCTGAATGCTAAACGGCAATTTACGACTGAATGGCGATTACAACCAGATAACGACTTCCAACACTGATGTTCAAAAACTAAAAGATCGTTGGCTGATAATGTTACATGAGGATTCATGGTCACCATGCAAGAATGACTATAGTGATATCAATGCAATTTTGACCCTTGCATTTTTTTAGAGTTTACTAACGCACGCACTGTCAAGAAAAGCTTTAAAGCATACTCTTCTAGAAGCCGTTATTTCTAGTGTCAGACAAAATTTCATTTTTATAGAATAGTTTTCTATTACATTTAATATGATTAGTTCGAAAGCAATTATTAATTCAATTCTACATGGAGACTATATAATTGGTATTGTTAGAACTACCACTCTCATTCATGGTCACTTATTACAATTCTATAATATAGAAGAAAAAAATAAATGAAAGCATATTCTATCAGATGGTAAGATGTTTAATTGTGGACTAACTTATTTTTTCTTCTTGGTCACGAAGACAAATTCTATTTATATTCGTCAAAGCCAATGATCCAATTCGCCTAAATATTGTAGCGAGCGAGATGTTTCGGTTCTAGTTGCTTAATCGCCATTGTTTGCACTACTAATTCGGTTTTAATTATGAACGTTGAAATATTAAGAACATGATCTGAAACTTGATATATGCTACTGTCAACATTATTGCATACAGTTGCAGGAGCATCACCGGGGGAAATCTAATTGTTCGACATTTGAGAAATATATGTGAATCACTGTTATTGTCAACTCTTTTCCCGTTACCTGTTCGACTAGAATCGTCATTCATAAGAATATCATCAGTGGCTGCAGTAATAGCATCTTGTGCAAAATGATCAGCTTCTTCATCAATATCATCGTCTTGAATGGATGATGAAGTATTGGCTGGTGGGCATGGAGATTTGCTTTTGCTTTCTTAAATAAAGATTTTGATTCAATTCCACTGCCTTCACTTCGACAGTCATCTTCCGATGATGTTTGATCTTTCAATGGACTATTTCAAGAATCTTACCACTCGTTTCATTATTAAATCTACAAATGAAAATAAAACATTCGAATTTCGAGAGGAATGCAAAATAAATCTCTTTTAAATTTTTCTTCAATATAACCATAAAGAAGAAGGAAATAAACAATGAGTCTTATTACTAATTCGCTTGTTGTCCCACAACAAGTATAAAACTTCAGAGTGTGGACGTGGGCGACCTTATACTCTCTGCTTCACCCACATCTACACTCACACCTTTCAGAAATAATCGCGCTTACAAGAAAGATTAATATTACAGATTTAGCGACGAAAGAAAACATATTCAGATAAATACGACACAGCTTACGTATGGAACCTTTCATTAAACTCCATCGGACATATTCACCATCTTTGCGCATATATTTTTCGATGTAACAGAACAGAACTAATCCAAAAACAACTCTGAAAAGTGATAGTTTTCATCACGTTTGAAATAATTCTACTGTTTAAGGGAAGTACGAAATGAAGCATCTTTCGATGAATCTGACAATTAGTTAATTATAAATGATCGCTTTAATCACGTTGTCATTGTTCATCTATACATACAAGAACAGGAAAACAAAATTGTTGAACAGATGATGTGTGGGTCAAGTGCATTAATGCTTTCACTGTTTGATGATTTGGATGATTTATCTTGCTTTGTCAATATACTATGATTGATATTTTCACTGTTCTTTTTATTTATCGTCAGACTACCTCTTATTTCTCGTTGAATACAAATTCATTGTTCGAGAACGTTCATTCTACCACAAATTATCTACTTTCACTATGAACGCTTATTTAATTGAAAAATGTTTGACTTCATGTACGACGAAAAAATAGTTGTTGACGAGAACAATCTGTTGAATATTGCAAACGCTGTTCCCGGTGCATCAACCTTACCCAATCATGGTTCGAGTTCCGACTCTTTACCAATAAGCTCCGCATCTGGATCACCGAATCGAAGTCAAATTACAATAATTACTAGCCAACTGACTCAATTAAATAAAAGTATTCCAGATAAATGAGCCGAAAAACGGATCAATGTCTTGCCACTAGTGGTAAAATCGTGAGGGTGTGTTGGTGTGAGTGTGAAGGAATACCACAGCTACCCAGGTTGATCAAAACGGACTCGTTTACAGTCTGTTTATCGACGGTAAACAATGTCATAACGGTATATTTCCGGCAGTAAATAGGCTGTATTTGCCCGTAATACCTGGCACAGTAATACGGTACCGTAAACGGGACTGAATTTTCATGGTTTACGGCTGTTTGTGCTCCGTACTTTCATGGTCATACGGTCCGTATTACTGCGGCAGGTATTACGGCAAACTTTCGCCCGGAAAATAGTCGTAAAGTAGCCGTAAACGGCAGTATACGGACCGTACTATTCCACCTGGGTACATACACGCACACACACCCTCAAGATTGTTATTGAAGCTTTTTAGCATTAGACAGGTACTAATTTAAAAAAACACTGTTATATTCTTGGTAAAATCCTCGTCTGATAGAAAGATTTGTTTCAAGTGTTCATGAAACTTGTACAACCCTGTCAGATTTTCTCAAGGAATGAAATTAAAATTTTAACCAGCTGATCAATTGTAATCGACAGCGATAATGATGAACATATTTTTGTAATCACATTAAATTTGTCAGATGAGTATAGTCGCACGATATAAAACGAATCGCTTGTTTTTTCTGTTAGCAAATAAGTCACAGTTATTCTAATCGCGAAAGATCGACACAGTAGCGACCTCTTTTTGTTATCAAAAATTGTTGAGCGATTAATTTTCTCGTATTATCACATGATCGAACATTTGAAAGAGACGCTATTATTATTCAAATTAGTACATTCAGCTAGAAATATATACTTCTACCGATTCGGTTTTCATATAAATGACTCATCATTATTTTCAATATGATCAATCAATCAGCAGTTGCTAGTTGTCACTACAATGGTAACAAGCCAATGCCCTTTTTGTTTATTGTGCCTTATTTTTCTCATGATTAATATCAATTTATTTGCGTTACTCTTAAAAAAATATTTTAAGGATCGAATTTCGTATGATTGTTAGTCGTAAAGTGAAATGTTTACATCACATATGGCAGAAACAGTAGTTTTATTTACACACCATTAAAATGAGTACTTGTTTTTCTCTCTTGTACTCATCAGTTTCACTATTAAGAAATGACGTTGTTCTTTCAACCATGACATAATCATATAAAACGAACTTTGAATATCAGTAGTAAGATATCGTTGTAAGTGTTATCATCTTATCACTCGTACATCTGTTGTAATTGTCTATCTCAAAACAAATAAAGGAAGCTCTCCGCATCAGTATCTTCTATCTATCTATGTTCTCATTCATATCAGATATTTTAGCACTTGAAAAGTAATATAACATTCTATTTATTCGTTCAGATATATAAATAGAAAAAAATTGATTGAAGTAACCGATAATTTTTAATGAACTACAAATTATTTCAGATAAATATTAACGCTTTTTTTCTATTTTGATTCTACGTTGTCACAATATGGCGAAAGCCGCTTTCGTCACTTCTTTCCTTGGTAAATATTTTTCTTGATGCTAAAATGAAATTAATCTCTGAAATATTTTAGTCTTGTTTATCACTGTATCATATGGATATAAACAAGAATGTGCTATTGGTCCTCAATATTGGTGTCAATCATTTGAAACTGCACAAGACTGTGGGTCACTACGTCATTGTACCGATACAGTTTGGCGTTACGATGCAAAAAGTACCAAAGTCGATTCATCAACAACATGTGAATGGTGTCAAAAAATTCTTGAAAATACTCATCAAGGAATTCAACATTTAGCCAACAATGAGGTTTGCTAATCCAATTGACGAAAGTACTATAAGAAAAACTATTATTTATTATAGGATTTGATTAGATCATCGCTAGTAGATGGATGTAAACTATTCCCATTGGCTACTGTTTCATCAAAAGTAAATTAAAAAAATGAATGAAACAAAATTCTTCCATGAATAAAATCTTTCTTTTTTATAGTGTACAAATGCTCTTGAAAATTATGGAACATCAGTTACTTCATTAATGAAACATAAAGTAAAAAGATCGATTCCAATAGCTGATATCATAATGTTTGTTTTTTTCTAGCGTTATGCTACATTATGTCGTCTGATGAATATTTGTTCAAATGAATCAGTAACAGAAGCTTCATCAACTGAAAAACCAGGTACATAATTGATATATTCATTTTCCGATTCATCACTATTTGATATAAATATATAGTGAGACTTGGACAAAAACGATGTACATGGGGTCCATCCTATTGGTGTTCATCGTTAAGTAATTCGCGTGAATGTAGTACCGTAGATCATTGTTCGAATAATATTTGGTCAAAACAATCCATTCAAAAGAAACCAAATGATAATATTTGTCAATATTGTGAATTTACTATACAAAAACTACGTGTTATTATCAATGATCAGAAAACAGAAGTATGTTTCCATATAGGAATTTGTGTGATAAACAAAATTCGAAAGGACTTTCCCCCAAGAGTCACATTTCTATTTATGATTGGAATTATTTTATGTTTTTTTTCTTCCTATACAGATTGATGCCGAAAAATGGTTAGCCGGTGCTTGCTCTATGTTACCAGCAAAAGATGCTATTGATGAAGTAAGACGAGTAGAAAGTTTTAATTCTTCTCTTCATAAATGAATTTATTTCAGTGTGTGCAAATGATGAGTAAATATGCCGAGGAAATTCTTGCTGTTATCAAAACTAATATTGTAAGTTATGAAATTGCTAGTTTAATGCGATTCATTAAAATGATTGAAAAACAAATACTAGGATCCCGGCGTAATCTGTCATTTGGTTCATATGTGTAAAGAAGCAACAGTTATAACACGAGTTGAACTTGAAGATAAAAGAACAGAAGAAAAGTCAATTATCAATGTTGATCATGATAAATTATCGGAGCGATTACCCATTGATCAACAATCAAAAATGTTGTGTAATGTCATTGTTCGTGCTACACATGAACTTCATGTTAAACAACATAAAACTCGAGATGAAATTCAAGCATTTTTAAAAGATGACTGCCAAAAGTTATCAACAAACGAACTTGTACAAAAAGTAAATGAAATTTTTAAAAATATTAAAAAGAAAACTAATCCTTTTGATTATATAGTGTGAAAATATAGTTGAACACCATGGTCTTAACATTCATGCACATGTTGCAAGTAAAATTGTAAGTTAGATTTTCAATCAATAGACATTATGAATCATTCTGTTTTTTTTTCTAAATAGGAATTATCAACAGTTTGTGATTATATTGATGATTTTGCCGATCATTCTGCTCTTCAAGTAAAAGAGTCGATGTTAGAATCTGTATTAATAACATGTTTTCATTATTATTAGTCTCTTCCAAATGTACATTGTGAATTATGTACATTTGTTTTAACAACAACAAAATATATGCTTGATGCTAAACATACTGAAGTAAGAATGTAAATTCTATGAATGTTTTTCAAAGAATTATTTTTCTAAAAGGATAAAGTACTCATGTACATTGACGAACAAGTATGTGCACGTTTAACTGGTGTAGCAAAGAAAAATTGTAAAGATATAATTGAAAACGATGGAAAAAATCTAATTAATAGCATTCAATCAGGAACAGTAAGAATTAAAATAAGAATTATTTTTCTTTTTACATGGAAAATCTTGTAGAAATCAATGCTTCTTTGTACTCGTTTTCAAGTTTGTATTAGTAACGTGCTCGATAAAGCAAGTCCAATTGAAAAAGTAAGAAAAATATCAATTGATCATTATTTGCAATAAAATATTATTTTAGAATGAAAAGGATTCATTTCTCAAAGAAAACATTTGTGAAAAACTTGGATCATTCAAAGATGCTGTGAGTTTTATTCGTGTAACGAAAATTTTATTTATCCTAAATCTTGTTCTAGTGTAATGGATTGATTGAAAAAGATGCTAATCGTCTTATAACAGCACTTGCGGTTGATATGGTATGTTATGACTTTCTCTTGGTGTTGAAAACCTTCATTGAATAGTTTCGAATCATAAAAGACAGTTTTTTCAGTTGAAGTTATGCAAATATCGATAAAAAAATCTGATTTCAAGCAATCTGAATACAATATTTATGTGTTATTTTCGTTGTGTAGGAAGGTGATGATCTTTGTCGTATATTTGGATTGTGTCCAAAGAAAATGTCACTCTTTGATAATTTGGCTGTTAATGATGTAAGATTGAATTCTAGTCTTTTTTTTATTTGCATTGAACTATTTTCCTATGATTATTTAAATTAGGATAAAAATAAATGTCAACGATGCATAACTGATTTTACACGACGAAAACATATTGCAGAAAAACTTGTGGTAGATTATTTCAATGTTTTTGTTCTCTGTTAAGTGGTTTTTGTTTTAGAATCATTCATCAGAATTTCTTCATCATCTTTGTGAACAATTACCTCAAAAAGATGATGTATGTATTTTCTAAAACTGAAATATTGCCTTGTTTCTTCATTCATTTCTTTGTTTAATTTAAGTGTATAAAAACTGTTGAAGAATCAATCAATGAACTTGTTGATTTCGTTCGATCATTGGTAAATTTTCTAAAATTGAATAAAGAATTTTTGATGAAAAGTCCTCTTTTTGTTTTCAGGATCCACAAGACATTTGTGTAAAATTAAATTACTGTAATGAAACAATGTTGGCAACAATGGAACAAGTTCAGATTAGTTCAACGGATGACGTCATGAGTGTAAGTATAGATTTCGATCTGTGTCATTCTCATTTCCTTATTGTTAGTTGGGATCATCTTTAACGAGAGATACTCTCAATTGTACTTTATGTAAATTGGCATTTGGTACTATAAAAAAAGCACTTACAACGAATTCAACCGAGGTAGATTTTGATCACGATACATGTCTAGACTATATAAGCTATACGCATGGATCTCATCGAGATAAATTCTACGTATTTTTGTTAATTTTAGCAAGAAATTATTCAATCTATTAAAGTTGAAATCTGTTCAAAACTTGGAGCTCTTGCAGAATTGGTATGAATGTTTTTGATAGTTGAAAAAATGCTGACTATTGTATATTTATAGTGCAAACAAGCTATTGATACTGAAGGTCCAGCTATTTTAAATATGATTGCAAACGATATTGACCCAAAAAAAGCATGCGTTACAATGGGTATTTGTGCGCAGAGTGCACAATTTGCAAATGTAGGTTTAGACGGAAGACGAAGTTTTGTTCGTTTAATGAATTGCGTTGTATTTAGTGTAATGACAAATGTGATTGCTGTATGAGTAAAATTGAAATTCATGAAGTACGAATTGCTACGTTTCTGGTAAAGATTTAAATAGCTGATTTTCTTCATTAGAGATAAATGTTTATTTTTATAGCGTGCAATTGTTGACAATATTAAAACTCTATGCAAACGTACGCCAGGAGCTAATAAGGTATTTTGAATAAGAATAATGGTATAGAGGAATTTTTACGGAATTGCTTTCGTTTTAGTGCCTTGAAATGACTACAAAACTTGAATCAAACGTCAATCGAATAACTTCACGTTTTGTAAGTAAAAATTAATTATGTTTATGATTATCGGAAAGTCAACGTTTCTTATCTAACAGTTCAGTACAGGAGCTTTATAATTGAGCATAAATGCAATTAAAGTTGAAATAGTTGACTTTCTGTCGTGCATAACAACATTTGATATCACAAACTGAAACATCCTCTCGAAATAAGTCTATTTGTATCTAGAATTTCTACTCTCAAAATACAGTTGCCTATGAGGAAAACTTTACGTCTAAATATTGCTATTTATTTTTTAATTAGAATGCTAAAGGTGTTTGTCAAATATTAAATCATTGTTCAACATTACCTGTTGAGGTAAGTTACTATTTTACTTGCATTTTTATACAAATTATTTTCATACGAAATTCAATAGATTGAAACGTTATCGGTATGCAAATCACGAATTGAATCTAAAAGACAATTTCTTCTTTCATCAATATCGACAATAAATGAAAATCTTAAATCACTTTGTGAATATATTCCGGTAAAGATTACTTAAGAAAAACATGTTCGTTTGAAGCTCATAATTCCTTGTATATTTTTAGTGGAATAAAGATTGTTATTCGATTATTGATCGATCAACTTTTGATGTTAATCAAAAAGTTTCACAATTAGATGCTGAAAAGACTTGTACATCAGGTCAATCTTTAGTTGATTTAATTTGTATCAAAAATAGTCCATTTGAAATATTATGCAAACAACTTGTTGAATCCAATGAGAATAGTTTACGTATGGAAGCTTTATTTAAATCAATGTTTAATCGAAATGGACATCTCGAAAAAGAACTTTGTGAATTCGATCATGAACATCAATCATCCGATTGTAAACCATCATTTACATCGAAGAATTGTGAAAATAAGTGTGATTGTTGTGTACAATTTTATACAACAAAAAAGAACTACGATTTACAAATGATTGTATGTATTTATAACAGTGAGTCAAATTGAAATAGGAGTTTTTCTCATTTTAGGAAACATTACGAAATGGACTTTTAGCTACTTGTGATTGGAGTTTATCGAAAGATTATTGCATTTCATGGTTCAATCGTGTATGCGATCGAATGAAAGCTAACTCTAATGGATTTACACCAACCACCTTTTGTAAAGGAACTGAGTTTTGTTTGATTGAACAAGAAGTAAAGATAAGAATTATATTAAAAAAAAGTTTAACGATTTTTAAAAAAAATATTTTAGTCTAAAATCGATGGTGACAAATGTGAAACTTGCAAAAAACGACTTAATTCGCGTCAGAGTCGCTTCCGTACAACTGTTAACGAAGTAACAACAGCACTTCTTTCATTATGTACGGATAGTGACTGTCGATCACTTGTTCAATCAGCACAACAACAATCACTAAATCAAATAGATAAAATCAATTCTCAAACCTATTGTCAACGTTATGGTTACTGTTCATCAGATCGTTCATCTCAAACCTCATTATATCTTTCACGTTTATTAATACATTCGAATCATCATGTTGGATCATCTATTGAAGCTTTAGATCAACGTTTCGAATCAGCTTTATCAAGTGATATTTGCTTTCAATATGGACAACTACGACCTATGTGTGACCATTTATTAGCATCACCACAAGGTCATCGTTATGCTAATGTTTATATGGCTATATTGAAAAATAATCCAAAACTAATTGACGATGATTTACGTGAACAAATGGCAACTAAAGCGACTACTAATTTTTGTGATTCATGTAAAAATGCTATTGAATCATCAAAAGATTTCTTAAATAATGCCTTAGTAAGATTATCCGAAAAAAAAAGTTTTATTCTTTAATAGAATTGATTATTTTAGGATTCCGTTCTTAGCACATTACTTCGTACATGTGAACGTTGTCCAGTTAAAGATCAATGTCAAGACTTTTATAATCAACGATTTAATGATATTAAATCCTATATCACTAACATTAATTCTGACCAATTTTGTCAATCACTTCATTTATGTGCCAAATTGCCAATTATTATTAAAAGTGATCAATGCTCAAAATGTGTCGAAAGTTTACAAACACGAAAAACAAATATTTTACATGCAATGAATCGTGTTGTTGCTTATTTTGATGATCTTTGTCAACGTTTTGCCGGTAAACAATGTCAAGTATTTGTTAAACAAATTCAAGATTCATTTGAAGAATCTATTGACAATTTTGATCCAAAACAAGCATGTAATGTATTTGGTTTTTGTTCAACAACAAATAATCAAAATCAAATGGATTTTGAGAAATATGAAAAATACTTAGAAGATGAATTTGACAAAAATATTTGTTCAACTCTTGGTCCATTTGAAACCTTATGTAAACAAACTATTCGTGGAAATAGAAAACAAATTGAAACAGTTAAAATTAATTATAACGTTAAAGATTTAATGTTAATCGGAGAAAAATTAACAAACGGTATGACTACAAACTTTTTCAATGCAGCCAATCTTAGTAAGTCTGTTCATCTAAAACATATCCTATTTATTTTCTATTCGGTTTAGATGAATGCAATCGTGATAAATGTCAATGTTGTACCAATCAAGTCAATCAAAAGAAAGATTGTGCAAAGAATATGGGAGATAAATTAATTGCATCTTTTATTGCTTCATGCGATTATTGTCCAGCTAAAGATAAATGTCAAAAATATTGGCAAGACTCTCAAACACAATTTGATTCATGCATTGACAATATGGACTCCAAACAAGTTTGTACTCGTCTTGGTTATTGTAATGTTTCATCGTTATGTATGAATATGGGTGTTTTCCAACAAGCATGTGAAGAAGCACTTACTGCTTTTACTCAATCGCTTCATCGTGATCCAGAAATACTCGAAAAACATTTACCACATACATCAGTTGTAGTTTTACCAACAAAAGCAACGGAAGAAACAGATCTATTGAAAGATTCGAATTCTACTTGTATTCTTTGTGAATATACAATGAAAATTCTCTCAAATTATATTCATCAAAATTCAACGGAGCAAGAAATTGAACAAAGTTTAGAGAAAATTTGTAATCAAATGCCAGTCACTTTACAAAAGCAATGTCATGAATTAATTGATAATTATGGTCCACCCATTATTGCAGTACTTATTAATGATTTCGATCTCTCGACTATTTGCCGAAAACTTAATTTATGTACAAATCAAATGAAAGTACAAGTTTCTTATCTGACAAAAGCCAATCAAGCAACATGTGGCATCTGTGATTATGTTTCAACTTATATCAATTTTGCATTGAAACGTGATTCAAGTGAAAAATCACTTCAACATGCATTGTCAACTGTTTGTCAGCATTTATTAAATGAACAATATTCACAATGTCAAACATTAATTCAATTAGTTGCACCGCATATTCGAACATTAGAACTTGGTATTAATAGAAATTTTTGTCAACAATTAACTATTTGTCAAACATCAACAGATAATATGAATGTAGTTAAACCTTCAGTAGTTCATGTACCATTGAAAAAAGAAGAATCAACTAAAGACGATGATGAATTAAAACAGATGATTGTTAAGAATCTAGATATTACACCACAATGCACATTATGTCACTATGTTATTTCCTATTTGGATGCTGTTCTGAAGAATAATAAATCGGAAGCAGCAGTTGAAGCAGCATTAGAAAAAGTGTGCACTATTTTGCCAAGTAAGTTGTGATTTGATAATTAAATGTTCAAGATAAAATTTTCTCTTTCAGGTAAAGAACGTGCTCGATGTGATGATTTCGTTAAAACTTATGGGCCAGTTCTTGCTGAATTGATTGTTGAAATGGCTGATCCAGATGCTATTTGTCGTTATCTTGGCATGTGTCAGGTTGCATTACCAATAGAAGCAACTACAAAAAAAACGGCACCTGTTACGTATTCAAATCATGATTATGTCCGTCTATCAGCAGAACCAAAACCATTTGCATGTACTATTTGTCAATTCATCATTACTCGTATGAAACACTTTGCTACTCTCAATCAAACAGAAGAAGAAATTCTTGCATCATTAAAACAATCATGTGATTTATTCACTGTTATTAATCTGAAACAGCAATGTCAAGATTTTCTTCAACAATATGGACCATATATTATTCAAATGATCTCCAGTGATGTTGAACCGAAGATTGCTTGTCAAAATTTAGGAATATGTGAAAAAAATGTAGCAACATCACCAAAACCAACAGTCCATCAATCTACTCCTCCAGCTCCGGTGGCATCATCAACAACGTATGGAAAATGTATATTCGGTATGAATTATTGGTGTACAAGTCGTCAAAATGCAGAATTATGCAACGTAAATAAGACGTTTTAATACGCACGAAATATGTATATAAATTTCCGTTTTGTTATTTCTTTTAAGGCTGTCGAATTATGTGAACGTCAAGTTTGGTCAAAAAGAAATAAGAACATTGTTATTTAATTCGAGACAAAAAAGACTTGTATTGCTTCTTTAATTTACTCATTAGCTTTACCTGTTGCGCGAAAAGAACTTATTTCCTTTTTTCTTTTACGTCTTTTGGATTTAGGCACAAGGAAAAAAGTTTATCATGCAATACCGATTTTTCTCTTTCTTCGTCAATATTATTTGTACTTGGTCTTTTCCTTTTCTTTTCTTTTCTTTTCATTCAGAGTATTGATTATAGCGAGCGTCTACTTATTCCAGCATGTTCTAAACATGAACGCATTTAAGTGTGTTTTTCTCGTTTATTCTCATTCCATTCATCTTCAAATCTGTCTTGTTTCGTTTTTCTTTCTCCTTTGTATACATCATTATAAGACTTGGCGTGAACTTTTCTCTTGTGATTCGGTTATTTAGCTTTTCTCTTCAATAAACTTCATTTTAAAAAAATTCAACTCTAATGATGATATAACTATCTTCTGATGTATACAACCAAACAAATATTTCTCATTACGTCTTGAAAAACAATATTGACAAATCAACAGTGATCAAAGTTAGCTAATAATTTAACTGATATTTAATCTAGTTATAGTCGCTTACGGCCATACCACGTTGAATACACCAGTTCTCGTCCGATCACTGAAGTTAAGCAACGTCGGGCTCGCTTAGTACTTGGATGGGTGACCGCCTGGGAATACCGAGTGTCGTAAGCTTTTTTTAATCTTTTTTCCCAATTCACTTAACAATTCTAAAGTATTTTTATATTGAGAAACAACTGCCAGAATTCTTATTATTCTATTCTGCTAAAATATTGCTTATAAACCTAAGTAAATATGTATATTTATTTTTTTAAAATTCTCTTTTAATGGAGGTTATTCTATTCATCATGTCTTTCTTTATTTTTTTCTTTTGTTTATCTCTTTTGATCAAAACGGAGAACTATTGAAACAGATAGAAATTAAAATCAAACCCTGTTATAATCAATAGTCGAATCGATTCTCAATCTAGAAACAATTAATTGTCTTTAAAACTAGTGTGATTAACAAAGGCTCCCCCATACAAATTGACACGACACGTTGTCGTAATGCACTTTATTATTGGCAGTTCAAATCTTTGAAGAATTTTATTTAGTACCAAATGGAAATTGTTCAACTTAGCAATGTACGGAATCAAAGTATATAAATGCAATATAAAACTGCTACAAAGATCACCGTGTGGTTTTTAAATCATTTTATTTCAATCTAAAGTATACAATTTATTCGAGCTTTCGTGTTGCTGCTGAACGCATCATCAGGAATAACGGCATTAAAAAGTTGCATTGAGTTGTAATAAGAATATTGCTAATGTGTATAACATAGGAGTAGTATAAGTAGAAAAAGTAAGAGAAAATGAACCAATAAATTATTGAAAGATTTGAACTCAGTATGTAGATGAGTAATGTAAGACTTATATAATATAATTAGCTAGAACAAAACATGCGAAGCAAGTGATCTTATCTATATATTAGTGATTTTTGTTTTTTTTATATTTTTATTTTAGTTCTTTTTATTATTGTAATATCTGTTTTTATATGTGCTGATGTTCCTGATGGTCTTGTTACTTATACATTTTGTAACGTTTAGTTTTTCTTATATTTATGGAATCTACTCATGTTTATATGAGCATACGATAAGGGTAATAGTAAGAGATGAGTACATTGAAAAAACATAGAATAACTCAAAAACGAATAATATAGTTAGAATGACTTTGAGTTTAGAGACATAAGTATATTGAATACAGAAATAGGATAACTAAAAAGAGTGATGTGAATTAGAACAATTTAGAGTAAACTAAACAGCAAGAGATATAGTTATGTTGGATAAAGAACAAGGGTAATACTAATACGAATGATGCAAATGAAATTATAAGAATTTGAATTAGATGAGTTCGAATAGGTTTTGTTTGAATTGATGAGGTGAATTTAGATTGGTTGAATGGGATGAATTAAAGTGTAAAATCAAATGAATCGTAGTAAGATGATTGAGTAGATGAATACGAGTACGATAACTTGGATTGATTTAGTAGTTTGACTTTTAACTTTTGAAATGGACTTATAGCTAACTACATGTAGTATTTGTTTTGTGTCGTTTATGGTATTAACACATGCTTTGTTGGTGAGACTACTCTGATAGTTCTTTTCCTCCAATCAGTCTCTCGAGTCAGTGTCTCTACTTTTGAAAAATCAAATTTATTTTTATGTTGTTCTATCTGTTCAACAAGTTTTGAGTCGGATCCTAGTATTCTTATTTTTGCTCGACGTTCAGCCATTCGAGTTTCTTTCATCCGACTTGTTTCTCCTATATTTATATATATATATATTATCACAATTAGCGCTTGGTATCGAGCATATTAGGTTTATTCTTTTCTTAAGGTGCATCTTTTCATTTTAGAATTGATAGAAAAATTCTTTTAAGATTTAGGTGTTTTTTAAAAAATACGATTCTCTAGCTTTCCTAGGTTACTCGTACAGTCTAATTTAATGATTCGCACACGGTTCACAAAAATGTCCGAGTATATTCTACATAAAATATTTTTCAACGGGTAATCTAAACCTATAACATCATAATATTGAAAAAGAAAGCAGAGTTGTATGCTTACGGCCATACCAAATTGAATACACCAGTTCTCGTCCGATCACTGAAGTTAAGCAACGTCGGGCTCGGTTAGTACTTGGATGGGTGACCGCCTGGGAATACCGAGTGTCGTAAGCTTTTTTTAATTTTTTCTTCCAAGTATATAAAATCCCTACTCAAATTTTAAGCTCAGTACATTGTTTCAGATTTCATTTTTTGGGTACTAGTAATTGCTTACTCTCTGAAATAGAGATCATGACCGGGAAATCATTTTTAATTAAACCCTCGTTGAAAAAATCACAAAAGCTCGTTATTTTATTATAATTGTAGATTACAAATACAATATCACGCTCGTGAAATCCTCTCTACGAAGAACTGCATTCGGTACCCGCTTGATCCTAACTTTTCATCATCTGAGTCACTCAGATTTATAGCCGAAACTAGGAAATTACCTGGGATTATGCGAATAAAATAATTCAAAACTATTTAGTACGTCGAAAAACAAAACACTCGAGTCTACTGTGACTCTAACTATGTATGTTGAACAAGTATAGTTAGATCTTCATTCGTCACTTGTTAGTGACAATACTTCTTGATTATTGTTTGAAAAAGATAATCCGAACTTGACGGACTTTAGGACATAATAATGTGGAGGACGAAAGCACTGATGTACGCTTACGGCCATACCACGTTGAATACACCAGTTCTCGTCCGATCACTGAAGTTAAGCAACGTCGGGCTCGGTTAGTACTTGGATGGGTGACCGCCTGGGAATACCGAGTGTCGTAAGCTTTTTTTTATCTTTTTTTTGTCCAAGTGTGATGGGAGTACAAGGGAAGCGCACGGGAGTACGGAAGTCGTGCTTTCTCCCTTGATATGTATACATATACATGCAAAGCTAAGCCGATGAAGGAGATACGGAGTAACCCAAATAAGCCATAAAGCATGAATGCAACCTGGTAATCATCCAAGTAAAGTTAATATTAAATTAATCCAAAAATGTGTTGTACATCCAACCTAAGACGATGTATGTATGAAATTTACTTATTTAATTGAAAAAATACAATTATGTACTTTTAATAATGGCAGCAGCTAGTGGCAAAACTTTTGCTAAAATTGTTAGAAGAAGATTACCGAGAAAATCACCCATACTCAGTTATACAATAAAGAACGATGAATAATTATTTTATCTAAAATAGAAATCATTATAAAAACAAAATTTCGAACTCGACTGTTTGATAATCATTACAGAAGAATAAATAAATGAATTCTATGTAAAAGTTTGTTGTTTTTATGATGCTTTTTTTTGTCATTCATACAGCTCATTTTTCGTTCTTTATATTTATTCAGAAAACTACTAGTTGAAAAAGAAACATTAATTTTATGATAACATACGAAAGTAAAATTTTTATCGATTCAGGAGTAGCGGAAAGAATAATATTGTAGGTACGTGAAAAATAGCAGTCTTAGTTCACATGCACTCAGTAATAATATAATATGCCTAAAATCTTGTATTTTATTCGAGGGCAGAGTAACTAAAAAATTCACACACACACACACACACACACACACAGATATATTTGAGCTATATTAAATATACACGTATGTAATGTCTTCGATACGCAGATACATGATAAAATTTTAATCTTGAACTAAAACGATGTATCAATTGTTGTTTTTCACTTCGATTCGATAATTATTTATTGATTTATCGATTAGATGTTTGGAGCGATGCATTTGGATAATAAAATGAGTAAACTTTGTTTACAAATACACTATATATTTCGCTTTTAGACCGGACTTATTTTCAAGACACAAAGAAATTTCGCCATCTGCTGCAGCTGCAATCAAAAATTGCTGAAAAATTTATTTTCTCTTTTATTATTATATCAGCATAGAGAGATCAATTCTACACTTATCAACCTTAATAAAATAAAGCAGTTTGAGCTTGAAAGAAACTGAAGAAAACAAATCTTTCTCATACTTCAAATATATAATGGGCTCAATCAACTCTTCCTTTCTGAAGAGAAAGAAAAAAAATGACACGAGAGAATTGTTAGCCATGCATTTTACACATTCATACTTTTCTTGTCATTTATAAACAGTCTATTTCAAGTAGCTCTTTTTGTAATGAAAAGTTTTTGAACATTTTACTTCGAATTGACTATCAAGAAAAAGATAAAATAAAGTTTATGTCACATAAATGATAGTTAAAATATATCTTTACTGTGCAATTACTGAAAGGTAAAAGCTAAATTGTTGATATCTCATCTTGTATTTGTCGATAATTTTTTTTCTTTCATAGGAATGTAATTACAACATAAGACCGACTGTCTATATATAACAGCTGGATATAGATCCTTGTAGTTTCGAACTAGCCGAGAGAGTAGAGAAAACCAAAGGAAAACATCAGAGCAGAGCGATCATTGGTCCAACTCTTTTCGAACTACACATTTTTTTATACGTGATTCTTTCGATAGGAAGAATATTTGGCCTCTTTTAGATAATTTATCTTCTACTAATTACACACGCAACTTAAGTTCAACATGTGTGGCTGTATTGGCAACATGTATGTACATCAGTTTTATTTATTTAAATTTGTTACTATTATTTTTCTTGTTCTAGTTTATTATCAATTTTGGCTATTCTCTTGCCACCAATAGCCGCTCTAATTAAGGTTGGATGTACAACGCATTTTTTCATAAATATGTAAGTTGTTTCGTATGAAAGATAAAATGAAAATAAAATAATCTTCTAGTCTTCTTACTATCCTTGGACTATTACCTGGCTGTATTCATGCTCTTTGGCTTGTTTGGAGAAGTTCATCTGATTAATTAAAATCAATTGGTCATTTCAATAAATGATAGACTTATTGTTTTCTCTATATATTATTTCTCTATCTTAACTAGGAGTTCTTTTTTTTTCTTTTGCGAATAATAAATCAAAACTAGATGAGAAGCATTCCATGAATAAATGTCGAAAAAGAAGATAATTCTCTTTGCAATCAATACAGAGTTGAAAGTCACACTGTCGGTCACATGACATAAAAATATCCATAGATGACACTGATAAATGACTTTAGTAGGGAAAGAGTAGTCTGAAAACAAGAATAGTGTTCTTCTTGAGTTGGTTACAACTTTGATGGTTTTGATACTGAATTTGAATGTTCGACTTTTTGTATGAGATCATTGAAACTACTAACTAAACAACCATCTCAAGACGAGAATCGACATCAAATGAAAGGTTTCGAAGTAGCCTAGTGAAGCTAACACAATATGCACTTTGACACACACAAGTATTGGACACATTTTTTTACAGAATATTCGGTGATTTTTTCTTTTTTCATAATCTGAAATTCGTTTTGAGTGAAAATCAACTATTTTTGAGAAAAGTGTTAGTTACCTGCATAGAGTAAGAAATATAAAAAAATCAAAGAATATTATGCACTATAGGGTCTTGAAGGCGTGGGTGTCTAGCAACCGTCATCGGTGTTTCATGTTCTAGTAGATGACATATCAGATATTTTTGATGAAACCATCCGTTCATAGATGACCTGAAGATCAGAAATAAGATATTTCTGCCAGTACAGTGTGTTGTACAGAAATTTCGTTTGTGAATATTTCCATGAATCGTTTGAATGAAGCTTTTTTCGCAAGAGCTCTTTATATTAAAATCATAGCGACACTAGTAATTAAAATCTTGTAAAATAAAAAAAAAAGACGAAAATACTATTTGACTCACATGATTCTCGCGCGTCTTCTAGTGTATGCCATTGATTGTGAATCACACAGACTGGTTGCCATCAACATCTCTTCTTCTCCGTGTTAGTATGACGTGTGATACGAATTTCGTCACTTGTCGCAATAAATAGAAGAAGAAAAGAAAAAAGCAATGTTTTTTCGTTGCCAAATAAAAGAAACACGTTTTCTTCACATTTTTTCATACTGTTATCCGTATGAAAGATGAGTTTTGGCGATTCATTTACTTTTAACTGCTAACGGTAACTATCAATTTGATGAGATTTTCTTTTTTCATTTGATAGATTCATTCGAGAAGGCAGCAATTATTGATTCACAAATCCTTGCTGATCATGTCTAAGTATTGAAAACAGTACTTTAATGAAGACATATCTCTGAAATGTCTATTGGACACACATGTAGCGACATTTCCTCTTTTCATTTGTTTTAAAATAACCGGATACCAACACATTCTATTCTTCTGTGTGTGGCTAAAAAAAACTCACAAATGCACTATTTTTTGTGTTTTGCTATCATAATCAGTATTCTAAATTCGCTCTAAAGTACAGATCAAGTAGTATCAATTAATATTAGAAAGCCAACAGATAAAGTTTAGTAGCGACCATGATACGATCGAATTGTCAATCCTTTGTGTGCTTTTTGACTATTACACGCTGAAAAACAGACATAATACCACGAAAATATACTCTTGATCTCTGCAGGTCTTTAATATGGAGGCCAAACTATCTAGAATATCAAGTGAGATACGGTTGTTCACACTGTGTTCATGCGTAAAAGGTATAATGTGGAGCTATAATTCGATCGTTTTCTGATCGCCCTATGCGTGTAAACCAAAATCTTCTCTTTCCAACGAGGTCGATTCACATTAGAAATGTCATAATCCAATTACTGTAATATTAGATAGTAACCAGGTGAAGAGTAACTGATACATGCAAGTAAGTGAGAACTATTTCACAGGATATTGAAGTCAAGTTATCTGCGGTCTATTACTGATGATTTTCTTTTGGTGACTTTTTTTTAACCGAGAGCGGTCTATTCTACTTAAATAATTGTATTCTATTGCACATATAAACAAAGGTCAACCATTTATCATCGGTAAATGAATAGTTTGCAGACCATAAAAACACTTAAAATTGTAATGACAAGCGTGAGAATCCTATTTTAAATCCAGAGAGTTGATAAAAACCTAAACCAGAATAATGTACACTCATGTTAAAACTATTTGCACAATTATAGTGGAAAATTCAAATAAGTAATAGAAAACTACTATGATAGTTTTGAAGCATGTGCTCACTATTTGATCAAATCGTCAAATAAATCTAGCCAAACTCTCATGACGGGAACAGCATCTGTATTGAGGCATTTAATTTCAAAGTATTTTATAAGTTTAGCAAGAAAACTTTAGTTTATTAGTCCGTCGAAACAAAAACTCTATAATTTTGTAATCTTTTCTGACATATCCGTAATCTAGCGTCAAAGTATGACAAGCTGTCAATCCGGTACCATATCTGACCGTCAAGCATAGAATGATCGACGTGTTCGTGAATGTCACTTACTATTGAAACTAGCAGAACCTCCAATAGGAAAAGATTAGATAGGATACATTTTTCCCTATTTTCTGAGAAAAAATGGAGTTGAAGTGATTGAAAAGTCCCCTACACACTTTTAAGCTCTTGATGACGCTTATTTTTATGGGTCCTTCTTTTGATTTATAATATGCGTCTACGTGGAACACTTTCATTGTGTTTTTCATTTGAGTGCCATAGAGAACTCACTGGCACTTCCGAATGATTCTGCATGCCTTTGGAAAGTTGACCTTGTTTTATAATCAGTAAATGTAGGCTACAACATTTCTTAATTTAGACTATTTTGCTTTTCGTCTCAACCTACTGTTCAGCATCGTTTACAGACTCCAATAGTAACAGGTAATACCTGATTTCAATTATCACACAATAACAATTTACCGAATTTCTAACATCTTTCGATTAAAGTTAATTATACGGTAAGTTAGTTCTAACTATTTAGGCATTTTAAGCATACTCATAAAGATCTTTTACCTGTATCCATATTACAGGAAACCTTGTGTTATACGAAGTTTTCTACAATGGCACCAAAAACATCCGTGTCAAGAAAAATAAAAAACAGAAATTCAGGCAAACGTGTGCCTACAGTTGATACCACTCAGGCTCGATCGAATATGGAAGTGGTTCGAATGTGCCTAAAAGATCTCGGCTGGAAAGAAGTAAGTTGATTTGATTGTTCGTTTAGGTCGGATTGTATTTTACACCATAGTATGGCTCTGGCTCTTCTTCCGATGCAGATATCTATTGGAATTCAGCGACCTTTCAGCAAGGCAATAGAAATTATACTTCTACGTCAGCAAGAGTGAACAAATTTCCTGGTATGATATCATGAATGACGACGTTTTCGCCGTATGAAACGATACGTTTTTCGCTTCTTTCTTTCTCATCCTACAACTTGTCAAAGGCTAAACTTTTCCTCTGTGCGATTAATGGATTAACAATTTTACTATATTCTCTAAACTGGATTTCAAGTAAAACATTGTGAAACATAAAATTGACTAACAGTTTGTCGCCAATAGAGTATATTTTTAATGCTTGTTTTGAAGCTACAATGGAAGTAAGTAAAGGAAGAGTTCACATAAGATGAGATGTTATATTTTGACACTAGATACTATAGCACATCCACCACTATTTTTCACCAATCGATTGCCTTTGATATAGATAGTCTATGTTAACCCAAGTTTTCTTTTCTGTGGATACTCAATGCATTAGAATTTTTTCGGTATTAGAACACAACAGTGCTTAACGCTACTTGATTCGTTACTACGATGTCAAGAAATTTCAGTTTCACCACATCATAAAATTATAACTTCGTCTTAATTGTGTTTTGATGGCCATTTTTCTTTTAATATTCTAGCGTTGTTTACTATTATCACTCATTCTGCTATCACGACTATGTGATCTACACTCTTTTTGTTTAGTTCCTTCAATTTCATTGTCACTATTTTGGTGACAACATTCGAGAGAAATACTTTATCAGGAGTTTTGCGCTAGATTCAGTAATCAAATAAGACAAAAGAAAAGTGATTGCATCGACAAAATTTTACAATCTATTTTCGAATATCATGTTTTCACAAATGCGACTTTCAATATTAGCGTAGATACATTATGAAAAACTCTGGAGTATGTTTTCTAATGTAAAATATCGTCTTGCACTTATTTTAAGCCAAAAAAAAAGTATAATCATTTTACAACGAATAGGTATGTGTGATCTTATGCACAAAACTAATTTGACACGTTCATTGAATGTCATGCGAATGTTATTTCCTGATGAATTCGATTTCTATCCAAAAACCTGGTTTCTACCTGAACAAATAGAACAATTTCAAGACGATGCTGAGTCGATACACAAAAGAGATCGAAGACAACATCGACCTCTTACAACTTTCATTGTCAAGCCATCGGGTTCGTTCAACAATTCGACAGAAGACTCAGTGTATTTTTATTCTTTCTCTATAGACGGATCAGAAGGTGCAGGTATCTACTTGATTCAAGATTCAACTCATTGCAGTGTTCCTAATCGACCGCATATTGTTCAAGGTAAGGTCTGAAACTCTGCATACAATAGTTTATCATGATCCTGTTCGATTGATTTCCAGAGTACATTGACAGGCCCCTGTTAATGAACGGCCTCAAATTCGATATAAGAATCTATGTATTAATTCTCAAATTAGATCCACTGGAAGTTCTGCTCTATGATGAAGGTTTAGTACGCTTCGCTACTGTCAACTATCAACCTCCATCGACTAAAAATCTCCATGAAGCGTTCATGCATTTAACCAACTATTCTTTGAACAAACGCAGTACTAGTTACAAGCATGCCTTGGATGAAAAACAAACTGATGCCAGCAAGCGAAAATTGAGTATTGTCTGGTCACAATTGGGTCAACTGTTCAGTACGAACGAAATCGAACAAGCCAAAGAGATGATCAAAGAACTGATCAATAAGACGATATTAGCAATTCTACCTGAACTTCGTGTCCAATACGCTTCAGAGTTACCAATCACTCGGAAACAAAATCGATGCTTTCAGGTATCAAAGAATAGTAGTGGTGCAAATGTTAGGTAGATGTGAGGGGGAAGTCGATGATAAGAGGGTGAATTTCCTATTTCATATAGAAACGTTAGCTGTTTTGGATGAGATTTGTTCCATTCTGCCTGTTTTTATGACGAACATGATAAACAGCATCTGTTCAATGCAACTCATTGTCGCCAGATACAAAAATCAAAGTTTCATGAAAAAGCTACAGAATGTAGTATCTTTCATCTGAAAAATTTAAACAGATGTAGAGATGTTACTAGTTCCTAGGCATCACAATTTAGCTGCAGTGATGTCATCATCACCCGAATACAGCAGAAATCTTGAGAATATGGATGGGACAACGCGTGAAATATGCTGTGTACTACATAATTTTGGTGCCAGAACATTGATTACTCGTATGGGTCAAATAATAGCAAGAACTTTGAATACGAACAAACAAAATACAAAATAGAGTAATTAATGGCGATGAAGAATACTCATTGAGCATCGCTTGAGAATTTTTCTTATTTCAAAAGCAAATTGACTTCTTCTATCCTGTTGATTGTTCGGTTTATTGGATATAAAAGCAAAACATATTGCGATTGTACTATGACCAACTTGTATAGTTAATCTTCTTTCGTAAGAGTTCTGCAAGATTTGAGGTCAGAAAAAATGTCTTGTGCCATCTCGCATGTCATCGAATCCGGTCGTACTCACTTGGTTTTCATTGCTTTCAACTTTGCGAGGTGCCAAAATAGTTGTTATACGATGGACTTCATTAAATATATTTAAATGACCAAATCGGAAATCTCATAAGTATAGTGTAATTCAATTGAAATTTAACTACTATTTATCTAAGAAAAAAGTTTAAACGTACACACATAAAAAATGCTCATGGTGCCGCTATCACTATTTATTACAGTAGCAATATATTTTCCCTAGTGGCTCATCTAGCAGCTTTTTTGTTCATCTAAAAAAAACGTTCAGCTCTAATCCTAATGAACATCTCCGATATATTTACATCTGAGCGAAAGCAAAATAAAATCGATAGGCTGTATATGGTTACTTTGTGTTAGTAAAAGAAAGGATTCATCCTTGTTCCGCAAAAGTCTCCTTAGAAAAACGAAAAAAACCATAGAATTGTAAATTTCGTTGGATTTTTACAGATAATTGGTTTCGACATTCTTCTCACTGATCAACTAAAGCCGATTCTACTTGAAGTCAACGCGAATCCTTCGTTGCGAATTGATTTTGATCACGTAAATGAAGCTGGTAGGAGTGTTTATCAATATCAAACATTTCAGCATTGATTATTTCAGGTAAATTTGTCACCGAGCCAAGTGCAATCGACGAAGACATCAAGAAATCGCTCGTTTTGGAAACATTGAAACGTGTAATGTAAGTAGGAAGCATTAGTATTAGATGAACGAAGCATTTTCTACTAGCCCGAATAGGTTTCGAATGAGAAGAAGAAGAAGAAGAAGAAGAAGAAGAAGAATGCCCTTGCCTTTCGGCTACGTGTCAGTATAGGGTACTGTCCAAGGACAGTTTCATTAGCCCGATATTTTCCTACAACTATTACTAGCTGTAGTTCTGGACAGAAGGTTGGCCTGGCTCAGAGTTCTTCTCGCCTAGTTACTTAAGCTCCCCATGCATACTGACTAAGCACATACTTTTTAGTGTATGCCAACAATGTAGCCAGTGTGCTACACCCTGTTATCTTGCCTATTGTATTACACAAATCTTTCATGGAAAATATAAAGCGACTGATTTTACCTTTTTTCATAGAAAGTGCAAGCGGAATCGTAAGCTATCAGAACCCAACGATGAAATGATGACTCAAGAAGACAAAAAAGTTGTTCATCGCCAAACAGAAGCGCACAGTAAACTTGCAGTGAAACATGTGAAAAAGACGCATTATGACAGGCAGCTGAGTGCATCCGACTCCGACTCGTCGAGTTGCATTTCGGAAGAACTTTCAAACGAAGAGCAACAGTATCAAACAGGCTCGAATCAAAATAGAAAGCCTAAAAATCTAGTCAATCTGACCTTGGCCAACACAGGAAACGAATCACAAACTCCCAATGAGAATACAACAAGCGGTGCATCCGATTCAATGCTCGCCGATGGCAGTGTAGATTTTTCTACACTAGACCGATCGATGACTATCACAGGCGAGCAAAATGTAACCCAATCGTCCGTGAATCGAACTGATATGGCCGCTGATACACCAATAACTAACAAGATAAAATCGCTCAAGATTATTTTTCCATCAGCGTCTCAAACGAAATACGAACAAATGTTCCTCCCGGAGAAAATTGCTTTTATCTACATTGAATTAGTGGTCAAACGTGGATATAAAGCAATGACTAATTGGCCATTTCGTAACTTAGCTAAGTAAGTTCTTTAGCTACAGAGCTGAACAAATTAAAAGAAAGTTAAATTTAATGCAAATGTTTTACCCCGCTTTTCTTAATTAAATGAGTTCAGTAAAAAGCTTTCTATTACTGAGTGAATAAAAGCTTCGATTATCTCCTAGTTTATCTTATACACACTTTTTCGAATATTTGAGAAGAAATTAACGATAGACTATATGCGTCAAAATACAGCTAGTTTATGTCAATCTCATCGATCATTAATATCTCACTATTCGCATCGTTTTCTTTTGCAATCGCTACGGAACCAATAATACAAGATCACCGCACTATTTTTTGTTATGTTTGTTCTTCTAAAAATCTCCATGACACAACGTTGTTCTCTCACTTCCACCGGGAAAAATTGTAACGAATTATTTGCCAGCTTTCCGTCGCTTATCTCAAGATTTTAGGAGACAGCATTTCGATCTTGATGTTTGTCAAAATCGGCATCAGTTAGAGATACTTTGATTTGAAATTCCTGACAAAATATGAATGTCCATTCTAGCTTTATCACTTCATAGATTGAACTGGCGGACCAATAGTTCTTTTGTCAAGACATGTTAGAGCCGAAGAATCGTGACTCAACAAGTGATTAAACGGCAGTCGGTGTGCCCTTTCTTACAGCTTTTTACGGTGATCTATTTCAAATCTGAACTCAGACGAGAAACACTAAGGTTATGTTTTTGTGTCCTGAAATCTTGGTTTCACGAAAAAGTACGAAAATAAAAGATCACTTTGAGCATTTTAGTGCAATTCTATAGATTTTAGACTTTTTAACTACCCACGGTATGTAGAAATGTACAAAAGGGTTAAAAAAGCATAGCCGCTTTTCTCTCCAACCTATGCAGTGCGATTTTGAGCGAATAATAATTATTTATTCTGTCTATCGCGAGTTTGCACGTGTCTTCAACAGCTGTTCATTAGCTAGTTAATACTTCCTAATTCTAAACAAATACAACGATCAACTTAGACTTGTCGAATATTTATTTTGAAAATGTTTTCTTGGAGTTGAAATTAATAGTCACTGGTAAAAGTGCTCGGTTTTGAGTAGTTTTGAACAGTTATTTGATATAGTTGATTCGATGTAGTTCTGTTTGAATAGAATATGTGGTCTTGTCGATCAATCAACTACGATGATATCCATTGATATGCTGTACACTCAAATCTTCTACAAATTGAAACAATACGATTCACAATCTCCGGCAACTGGTAAGTCAACCATTAAGAGAAGATGCCAGTTAGTTAGAATTATACGTGTTCTGATGAACATGATTTCTATTTTATAGGTCTAGATTTTCCGGCATTCATAGAAGCTTTCTTCCTACTCTCTCAACGCAAATATTCGAATTCTTATACTCTCGTTGACAGTGTCACTGAACTGGTGAAGACTTGTATTCGTCACTTGGATCCCTCTGCTGATGAGTCAGCGTAATAATTTGCCTCATAATCGAATTAAGATTTTCTGCAACATTTTTTTCTCGATGCACTGTTTTGACACATTTCCATGTGCTAGTGACAACCCGAGCAAACGTACATTACTGTTATTGTTCATTGTTCACTTGAAAATAAAGCTTGAGAATTACTGAGAGAATTGGTTTCAATGCAATCAAACTATTTACTTCGCTTTATTAGAGAGACTATTAAAATTTGTTGTTTTTTATTTCCTGAAAAAATATCGACTTTAGAGAAGTTAAGAAGAAACTGTTTTTTTTTGGCTTGATGGTTTTTAATGTTGTTTTCTTCACTAACTATTTGTATACTAACATATATTAGTGAACGAATGAGAACTAAAGTATCACACTGTTGATCATGGCTGAAACTTGTTGGTGAAGTATAGAGCTTGATGAGTTGGTCTCAGTTGGTGATCAATGTTTTTCTCCATATAACTTCCTATAAAGAATTTTCAGATCACATCACTCCAATTAAATATATATAGGTATCAAATGCACAGCTCAGTGTGTACATATTACATGCATTCTTCTTAAGAGTGTATACATTAGATTGCTTATTTTGTTCACGTTTTTTATGTAGTAGTATTAGTGATGAATAGATGTCTTTCTTGTCATGAACTATTCGACACTAAATGTATGCTTTTCAGTGTATAATTGCACACGAAGAGAAACAGAAAATATGAACAATTCATAATTCAATATTATCTTTATTCTCTCTTGTTTGGTCATTGCGTAAAGTTCATTGGAAGAGCAATCGAATGAGCTGTAAATCTAACATGATAAACAGTGGTGATGTAGTTAGAGATGTAGCTAAACGTGTAATACTTCATGACTATAAAATTGATAATGATAGTACTTTTAAATGCATAAAAGAGTCTATAGACGTCTCTCCCGTGGTCTCACTTTCATGACAGGACAACATGTATTTTCATCTGTCACATATCCAAAGCAATTACAGCGGTTTCAAGAATATATCAATAGCTTCGCCACTAATAATACTGGGTTGCTGAATTTCAAACGGATGTCTACAACGAATTCACTTAAAATCGCACATCATCGGTTGAGAATAAAAGATTAAGCTTCGTTACTGTAAAATCGTCCAATATCACTAGCCATTTCTATATATTTACAAGAACCTACAGATCGATTTATTGAAACAAAAAGTATATTTTCTACTGTAGAACATATCGTCGCACCTTGTAACTAATCTAGCAGACGAAACAACTTTTAATAAAGTATGCGACACATGAAGTTCTTAACGAGGTGATCAGTAATCGATTTGTTCTATTGCTCGGTCTATGATTCATTCAAATAACTATTTCTATATACGAAGAAAACTTCACAAAGGGCAAACTTGCAGATGGATTGTAATTCTCAGAAAGGTTACAGCAACAAGACAACGTTGTGATTAATATTTCTTTCATTAGTAATTGAAAAACTTAGTATGACCAATTTATCAACATTTTATAATACATGATCTCAATATGAATTTCACAGATCGAGATTTTATTATGAAGTTTCAGTCATTAATTTCCGACCAAATCTATACTGATGTTTTAGTGACAATGATTTCTTATTCATGGCCTGTTTGCGGTTATTCTCAGTTAAAATTTCAGAAATGTTTTTAACTAAACGAGACGTATTTCAGTCTCAAGGCAGATCAATGCTCAACAAATAATTGCAAGGCCTATTCAATCATTAGTTGTAGTCATTATCATCATATTCTTTGCCGTGAACATTTTCTCAGTAGTTATCTTTCCCATCCATAAAATATGTGTCTCATGCGGCTTCACTCAATTAACGAACTTACTGCATTCTACAAATCGATTTTTCTACACAAATTAATCTTCCCCTTTCAATCTAAAGTTAACACTTGTAACGGTATCCTATTTAGCAACAATATTCGACTAAAAGCACTGCAGTATACGTTGCACTTTCAAAGTTAGACGTTTTTATTTGTCTAAATTTCCTATAGTGCTTGAAATTTGTTTGCCAAAGAAAGTGACGGACTAGTTCATGTTTAGCACTTCATAATGTAGAGAACGACAGCACTGATGTACGCTTACGGCCATACCACGTTGAATACACCAGTTCTCGTCCGATCACTGAAGTTAAGCAACGTCGGGCTCGGTTAGTACTTGGATGGGTGACCGCCTGGGAATACCGAGTGTCGTAAGCTTTTTTAATCTTTTTTTTTCAATTCACTCAATAATTCCTAACCATTTTTATGCCATTTTTCTGTTTAAAAAATAAAGGTTAAGATTTTCATTATTCTATTTGGTTTAAATATTATTTATCAAACTATAGTTGGAAGGACGTAGTGTTCAGCGACGAGATATAATTGGTTCGTATTTATTTGTTTTTGATATTGCAATGAAAAAATAGTACATTAATTTTTATCCTATACATACACTTTTATGATGATAGTGATAAGGTAATCATTATGAGAAGTTTTCCAATATGTATCGATTGAGTACTGAGATAAAAATTCTCGAGAGTTATTAAATAACTATATTCAAAAATTATTAGTAAATTTAGACTAGAAGTAGCGTATATACTCGTTATAATCAAATATATAATTTTTATTTCAAGAAAAATACATGTAGCAACTGAAAAATTAAAATAATTTTTTCACTTTAAAACAAATGATCATTATCAATCCAATGAGTCCCATTATTCCAAGTTGTCCAAAATATCCATACTGTGTTGGAATTTGTGGCATATATTTAAAGTTCATAGAGCTGAGACTTGATAAAAAGTTCAAAGGCATAAAAATACACGACATCAGTGTCAATGTTTTCATTGTATCATTACTTAAATCTCCATTAAGAATAATATAAAAATCAATTAATGATGTAATATTATCGGAATACGAATCAATGGTATCATCCAATTCAACAGAATGATCAAGAAGACGCTTCAAATATTTATAAATATAATCATTCAGTACTAATACGCCGTCATCTAACAAGTATTCTTCATCGTCATCACCGACTGAACTTGTGACTGTAGGCGAATGAGCTGAATGATTACCAAGAGCGTGTCGTTGCCGCCGTTTTAATCGACGACGACATTGACGTAATGCCGGGCGTTGTCGTTTAGGTAAAACTGTCTCACGAGTTTTTTGTAATTTAATAAATATATCTTTTAATGGTGCACATACAACTTTGAAATGAAGTAAATCATGCTTAATATGAAACAGTAATTTTAATGTTTTAACATCAAGTCTGTCGGCTTTAGCTTTTCTTGAAAACATCAATTCTTTATCAATACGTTCAGATTCATGTAATATTGAATCTAATACAATCATATAATTTTCAATAACAACATTAAGTAAACAATAGAATAAATAATCTGTTTTCAGTGTTTTCAGGCGACCTTTTGATTTAACTGATTCCTTACTTAAACGATATTTAATTGTTGAAAATAATCTATGTGAACGATGTTCTTGTATAGTAATAAGAGTGTTTTCTATTAAATAAAAACTTATTTTTTGTTGTTCAATGACACAAGTGGTTTCATTTAAATAAATAAGACTAAATAAAAGATAAAGATCTTCATTTATGATTGATATTTTCATTCGTTGATCAATTGCTCGAATATCATCAATAACAAACGTATGAGCATCAAAATAGATAAGTACATCCCGAATAAGCTCTACATCGGTACTACTAATTTCAACCCACATGTTTTTTCCTTCAGATAATTCTTTAAGATTGTACACAAATTCAGCAACATGATGATGTTTAAATTCCATGTATGTCGTTTCATCGTACCTAAAATAAAGAATACTATTTTCGTTTAGAGCCTGAAAACTTAAAATGGATGTGTAAAACGACAATGTATGCTTACGGCCATACCACGTTGAATACACCAGTTCTCGTCCGATCACTGAAGTTAAGCAACGTCGGGCTCGGTTAGTACTTGGATGGGTGACCGCCTGGGAATACCGAGTGTCGTAAGCTTTTTTTTTCTTTATTTTTGTCAAGTATATAAAAATCCCTACTCAAATTTTAAGTTCAGTGCATGTTTCAGATTTCATTTTTTGGGCACTAGTAATTTCTTACTCTCTGAAATAGAGATCATGACCGGGAAATCATTTTTAATTAAACCCTCGTTGGAAAAATCACAAAAGCTCGTTATTTTATTATAATTGTAGATTACAAATATAATACCACGTTCATGAAATCCTCTCTACGAAGAACTGTATTCGGTATCCGCTTGATCATTACTTTCCGTCATCTGTGTTGCTCAGATCTATAGACAAAACTAGGAAATTACCTGGGATTATGCGAACTGACTAATTCAATACTATTAAGCACTTCGAAAAAGAAAACAATCAAGTCTACTGTGACTCTAACTATGTATATTGAACAAGTATAGTTAGATCTTCATTCGTCACTTGTTAGTGACAATACTTCTTGATTATTGTTTGAAAAAGATAATCTGAACTTGGCGGACTCTAGGATATTATAATGTGGAGGGCGAAAGTGCTGATGTACGCTTACGGCCATACCACGTTGAATACACCAGTTCTCGTCCGATCACTGAAGTTAAGCAACGTCGGGCTCGGTTAGTACTTGGATGGGTGACCGCCTGGGAATACCGAGTGTCGTAAGCTTTTTTTT